AAGTTGGTGGGTGGTGGTGGGTGGTGGTCTTACCAGGTGTCTCAGTCCCTTTGTTTCTGGAAGCCACCCTGCCCTGCCCTGCTGTGATTCAACCTCAGCTCCAAGCTACCATGTCAACAACATAATGGGATGAGCACTACGTAGCAAACAGCAGGAAGCCAGCAGAGCAGGGCACGACAGGACATGCCAGGCCCTGGTACAGCATGGGCAGCGATGCAATGTGACGGCGATTCCGCTCCTCTGTCCTTGGCGATGCGACGGCGAGGTTACTACCGGTCCTCTCTCCTCTCCTGCACTGCACCGAGTATGTGCCGCAGCAACGGATGCCTGCGTTCCATCGGGGGTGGCGCGAGCAGGAACACCATCTCTGCTCGTTCCAGCCGCCTCACGCCTGAGCATAGTACCTATGCACCTATGTCCCGCCTACAGCCACCTTGGGCGAAGTGACGAGGGCAATTGCATGACGGATGACGAGAGGCGCATCGACCAGAGTCTGCGGTGCACTGCACTGCACTGCACTGCAGTTCCCTGTACGCCTCGACTGGTTTGCACGAGTTGCAGCGCCCTCAAGGTCCCGGCATCCAACTGCTTGACCATTCCCCCGCAACTTGACACGTCCAGAGAGCCTAGCCGGGGCTCTTTTATCCCAGCATTGCGTCAATACTGTTGGCGAAATGGTGACATGGGCTCTGGAAACTGATATCTGACTGCCCCTAGGCCCTCGCTATTGGATACTCGTGTGGGGGATGGTCCATGAGGGGACACATTTGCCGGCCAGATTCGCCCATTTCTGGTCCCTCGTTTGCAATTTTTTTTTCTGCCACGACCCGCTACTTCTGTCTGTATCCATGGTCTGTTTGCTGCGTCTCATGCTGCGGGCCCTCTCGGCCGACGACGACCACCTCCGCCAAAACGGGTTGAGGTTGAAAGTAGCGCCTCATTCTTGCGCGGAGCCACAAATCACTGGACCGGGGGCGGCCACTTGAAACTACACCAAGTGATCGGGAGACGGCCTTATCTCAAAGCTTCATAGCGTCCGTCAAGCTGCATTGATCCACCAAGATCGATCCTCCCTGGCCTGCGGTTGGACGCACCTGACCCCTGTATGTTTGTGTTACACACAGCACGAGTTTCCCGGGTGTCGTGATGAGGGTGAGATGCGTGTGACAACATGTTTCCTGTTTCGATTACCTTGATGCCCCGGTACCCTCCCAGACTGACTACCCAAACCGTCGAGGACCCGGCCCTGGTGATGGTGCTGGCGATGGCGGCTACCACGCCCGTCTCGATTATGGTGGAGTCTGCGTGTGACAGCCCAACAGACGTCTTTGCCGCCGGCAAAGAACGCCTGGTCGATGACAGACCATACGCCGCATCAGGTGGTTGGCCGAGGTAATTTCATGGGTGAGATTTCCGGCTACTATAGCATGCGTGAGAATCCGAAAAAGACGGACTGCTGCCACGGCTCGTGAGGACATGGGACAGGGCACCAACGGAGCGGTCCATATCCATACCAAGAGCAGGGTTGTGGTTGTCCAGGATCCAGGCCTGGCCAGGCATTTCCAAGCCACTCATGTCGTAGCATCATTTATGACATTATATCCATGTGAAGCTGAGATACACACCACACTCCTTCGACCTGCCATGTTGACAATCAGTACTCCATCTGGCATGACGTGCGAAACGCATTAGAAATCGGCTCACCTTGGTGTCGTTCAACGCAGGTCCGGGGACCCACGGCCATGTCGGCCCTTGAGATCAGCTCCATGCTCACCCGTTCCGTCCCCGTCCCCGCCCCGTCCCGTCGGCTCCTCGCTCGCGTCAAGTCGCATTGCTGGGCAGCATCGGAAGTTGACTGATACCGGTTCCCGAATGCCATTGTGGGCTGCTGCAGAGGTTGTTGCGTCTAGCCTGCGGTCAACGGCAGAACAACTCATCTTGATAGAGGCTAAGCCTGTCATGGTGTCTCTTGCTTGCCCTAGCGCCGGCCATCGGGACCTTGCGAACGCCATCTCATTCGCTTGGGCCGGGGTGAGATGCAACCCTCTTCCAAGATCCAACGAGGCCCGGGCGTTCTGGGTTCGCGTCCTCGAAGAAATTAAGGCATGTCTTGTGAGGGTGCCATGCAAGATAGCGGCTGCATGTCTTGGTTTCTGCCGTGTCTTCGCTGCCACTGCACTGCATGCTTCATGCGTCGTCAGGCGGGGGTGAGGTGGCAAGGACGTCGGGCATAACCTCACATATCGGATCCCCGCGTCTGAGATTTGATGGCCCAGTGGTTTCTGTTTGTACCTGTGGGCCTGCAGCACGATCGCCATGCGGCACAGTGGGTGCCGAGTGCTATAGAAGACCATAGACCACTGGGGAACGAATGCCTGAGTGAGTACCCTTCGTGGATGCTTGCATGTTGCGTTCCCGTGACGGAGCGCATATCTCACCATCGACCTGTCAAAAGTGTACTTGTAATCCCTCTTTGGCATCGGAAACCCCGCCATAAATCAAAATATGGCCATAGAAGCTCTTTGTGGTGAGCCATGTTCTTCCTAGAATCAGGGCCGCCGGAGACCGCACTCCGGTACGCTTGCTGGGCATGCAAGATGCCTAATCTCGGCAATATGCCATGACGCATATCGTAGTCGGGAACGGGCAGCCAAGAAACAGCACCAAAGTGACAGGTTGACGTCTTTTCGGCTGCATCGGTCCAAGTCGGTGGCTGTGTGAGTTGTCTCGACCATGCGGCTGCATATTCTGTTCCGTCCCATCCAGCCAACTTCTTTCTACCTGGGTCAGTCTCCAAGAAGTGACATTGGTCAGACCACTTGGGTGTTGTCTGTTTAGTATGCTTGCAAGTTCTTGAGGGAGGTGAATGTAGTGCTGTGGCGAGTAATTGAGGCTATTAATCACCCTTGTCAACGAAGCGAGGAGTGCCTATATGTGATACCGTCAGCGTTTAGATGTCAGGTGGTCTAAAATAGAAATCACAGGCATAACCGAGTCAATGGTTGGTGGACGGGCAGAGAACATGACCAGGCCAAGGAGGTGGACTGGGTCTAAGTCACGACGATACTCTAGGCTGAGTAAACACAGGGCAGTGCTGAAGATCACAAGCATTGAGGGAACGAAATGAGTTGACCAAGCTGTTGTATGCCTATTCTGGCGCCTCGTAACCTAGGAGTCGGCCAAGTCTGCTTTCGGATGGTGCATTGGCAAATCGACCTGCTGTAAACTGTTAATACAATGATTATCAGTCGTGTTATACCACCTACTTCTTCCTGACTGAGGAGTAGGAACTAACCGTAGTTAGTTTCCGGCCGGTCCATCTAGATCCACAACGGCTCTTTGTGACATTCAATTGCCGGAGGGTCTGGCATGCAGAAATCGTATAATGACGTATAAAACGAACATCAAAAGAAGGATGGTGCCAGCGGCAAGGGCACTCGCGAGGTGTGTTGTGAGACACTGATGTCCCCGCTTGCTCGGGGATCGGAGCCACTTCAACCTGAAGGCTAGCGACGTGCGTGGCCTTGTTCCCTTAAACATGACCTGTCAGTATATTGAAGAAAGACCCTGCGGTTGCTGTGATGAGCGTACCTTGGTAGGATCCATGCCTCTCTCTCTTAGCTGCTCTAGATCGTCAGAGACGCCATCCTGGAATAGGCTTGTCAGTTCGGACAGACTACTTGTTCAGGCGATGGGTCATACACTTCCGCCGATTATGAACGTCTGGACCTTGTCAGAGAATCGCACGTGGGGGGACCCTGGGCGACAGATACAGTCGAGACTGTTCGAACAAGACTCTAGGGCGCCAGAGCATGGATCAAGAGAGTTTTCGTCATGTACTTGGAGATCGGCGGAGTCTCCATTGGGATCGGAGTGGACGGCCTCGGGCTGTTGCATGGACCCTTTCTCCTAGGAAGGAGATGTCATCGGCACAGAAGCGCCATGCATGGCAGCTGTGGATCTTGAAAGTGTCAAGTACCGATTCACGCTAATGAAGGGGACCGAGGGAGGGCCGAGTGAATGTCATTAGGGAGAGTGATCGCGAGATAAGGTGTTGTCCGTGGAGATCAAGGAAGGTGGAAGTTGGCGAGAGTCTTGGCGTGGAATCTATAAGACTGTAGTATGGGTGATATTGCAAAGATGCTAAGTCCGAGAGGTCTGAAAGAGGAGAGACTGTATATTACAACTGCCTTGATTGAAAGAAGCAAAATACAGGCCAACAACTGAAGTTGAATGAGGCAGCGGATTAGAGATCAGAAGGAAAGGAACGTAGAGGTCAGCTAGTAGGGTGCACGTGCCGTGTCACTCCATCTGCCATCGGCAGGCAGGCACCTAATAAGGAAAGAGCAGATTGAGAGTTTGAAATTCTCCGTTACGAGACAGGCATTTGCTCTCAGTCGCCCGGGGTGGTACCTTCCAAATCCATACATGCCGCGGCCGGATTCTTCACAAAGGGACCCGTCAAGTTTTTCTCGGACAGGCACAAGCACTAACGAGCAACGATGAGTGGAATCTGGCGGTTAATACCGTTGCAATGCCGTCTTTAGTTCCTCGTGGCGAGGTCCATCGATATCCCTAGGCCGTTTCTGGGTAGGGAATGACTCGCAGCTGTAGCCGACATCAAGCCTCATCGATTCGACGCCCAAGCACATTTGTTGAAAAAGTTTCAATGGATCGTGTCTGTGCATGCCAAGAAAGAGTTTATTCCGAAGTTGCAGCAGCTTTTGATTATTACAGACTGCCAGGCTGTTCTCGACTTTCCTGGTGGATATCGCCTCCATGACAGAATCAACCATCGGATGACATCTGTCTGGGCCATCAGAGTCAGGTATCGAAGCCTAATGCCCCGCCCCAAAACAAGCGCTTCAAGTTTGGGACAATCGCCTGCCTGTGTAACGCCAGCTTCGACCTCTTGACATCACCAGGACCCGGGAATCGGGGAGTCGGCCTGTCCCAGACCTCCTTTTCGGCAGAGCATCCCGAGAGTGAGGGTCTATTCGTCATGGCTGTGACGAACCCTGAAAGTTGACGCTTTGGCTTTGGTCGCCCGCGCTCTCCTTGTCCGTGGCCACATTCTTATCTAGCTTCTGCTGCTCCTCGTCGATTTTCTCCTGGTTGTCATCGCCTTGAGCCTGCTCAATTTGGAGAGCAAGTACTTGAAGTTCCAGCTTCAATACTTTGTTCTTGATCTTTCTGTTCCACTGTCAGCCCCTGATCTTGTCAGCTTCCAGACAACCTTTGCGACAAACTCACCCAGTTTGTAGCGCCTTGCCATCATTACTATCCTCTCCAACCTGAGCGATGGCGTCATTGAAACCGCCCGCGTCTGTTTCGGCGGCTTCTGCTGTCTCCCGCGCGGCTTTGAGGATCTCCAAATCCTGTTGACTGACTCCAGCTAGGTTCGCCCGAAACTGTTCAACCTGGGGTTTGTAAGCCCACAATCGATACGACATTGAACCTTGGCAAAAAACGGACCGGGAACTTTTCGGCGACCTCTTGGAGTGCGTTTCCTGCAAGTCCATCCGAAATCTGGAACTGCGCGTAGTCCTGAACCTGCAAGACGTTGGCCTGTCTTCGACTGGGCATTGCTGTGCTACAGGCAGCCAAAGATGCGAAAAGAATCGACTTGACCAGATGCATGATGTTGGAAGGGATGGAGGAGCGGTTGAGAAAACGGTAATTCAAAGGATGTCTCCGGAGAATACTTGGCCAGCAAGCAATATTCAAACAATAGCACTGGTGGGGAGGAAAACCCAACAAAGACGAAGACGAAAGTTTCGAAGAATACGGCCGAACCTGCGAGCGATGACAAAAAGAAACACAATCTGTTGATTCAAGGCGCCAAGAGGAAGGTCTATATGCATTCTTGGGCAGCCTGGTGCGCGGTGGGATATCCCGTTCTCGGCGTCAACCGACGTTGCGACGATTCTCAAACGCGCTCAATGAAACAAGGCCGGTACAGCAAGACCGTCTCGGCCTCGAGAAGTTTCGAGGCCAGCCCACTACCACGGCCCATGACTGCTTCACGATGCCTTCAGGAGGGAACCCCAAGTTACAGGTGCCATCCCTGACGACACAGGATCTGCGGCGGTTTGGCGTTGGTAAGAGTGGTTGTCAGGGTGCTCTTGGCAGGGTCATGTAAGCCGAGAATCCACCCATGTCGAAGCTTGGCATTCCCCCCAGTCTGGGCAGTGTCTCAGCAACCCCAGCAGCTCGGTTGTGCTTTGATGAGGCTATCTTTGGGACCTGATGATGAATTGGGGAACTGGCGAAAGCTTATCTATCCAGTCACAGAAGTCTGTGTACGGATTGGTAAGGACGGATCGTCATTTGACAGGAAACCACATCTACGACGCCTCGAAACTCGCTACTCCGTACCGGGTATGGATAGAGATGGACGCCGTTATCCCAAGGCCCTCCCCACAGCGTTGGGACCCAGTATCGGGGATATCCGACACAGTTGCAACAAGGGCTCCAGATTGAGTTTCAACGTGGTCTGGTTTGCGGAAGTTTTACCCCGTGTTCTTGCGGCTCTGGAGCTCCATGTCTTGGATTTGCTAAAGTGTCTCTTTCACGAGGGCATCAGACCCTAATCCTGCGACGGGGACACACTCGGTGTGCCGGACACCGAAAGTTGTTGAGGCGGGGCAACGGAGCTTGGAAATTGGCCGGTGTTGTGTCGTCGGGACAGGTTGCGGAATACCTGCAGATAATCTTGCAGAGGCTGCTGCACGAGGGGGCGGCAAGGGCTTGATGACATCCCAAGGGTCCAACGCTACCTTAGGCGAGAGGCGCCTTTGCGAGGTAATGTTGTGCTTGTCATGGATACTGCAAAGGGGCTCATTGAAGTTCAATTTGGTCCATTGGGACTCAATTGATTGAAAGAGCCACGTATCCTCGAATGCGACATCAAGGGTGACCGCCAAGAATGGGTCTGCAGTTCTGTCGCGCATGAGCTGAGCGGAGATGGAGCCCGGGCAGCTCGCAAAGCTAGGCAGCCGCGATTCCTCGTCTCGTTTTAGCCTATAAAGAAGAAAACAATGAGGCTGATTTTAAATCCCCGTGGCTGGGTCCCGTCTGGTTATCGTGAGGCGCATATCAAAAGGGGGAGAGACCGAGGCTGGTGGGGGCTGGGATCGACGATGAACGTAAGAATTGACTGGCTGGAGTGAAATCTGTACCTGCGTATTGAGGCTGGATCGATTGGTTGTGGGTGGTGATGGATGCAGACGTGCAGCTGAAGGAAGCAAGTAAGCAAGTAATTGATGCGCGTGGTGGATAGAAGCATGAACAGGAGCTCAATGAATGATCAATTGACATGAATTGAAGCTCAGAATTCATTATCTCGACGACGGAATCATGATCTGCCCACCATTGAACCACCCCGTAGTAGCCCTGGAGCAGCCTGCAGCGGCATGCCCCTATAATTGGGCGTTGTAGAGGACACCTTAATGCTCACTACCGACGCTAATCTTGGAAACCTAGGGGGGTTCGTGGCCTTTCCCAACCAATGGGCGCCCCGAGAAGCTGCCGAGGACCCTGTTTTTTTCACCGCCCCTCTCTCAATTGGCAGTGACAGTGCAATTGCTCCAGGGTCAAAGCTCCCTCCCCTTCCCCCACGAAATATCCCATCCCATCCCGTCCCCTCAAAAAAAAAGAGCCGACTCTCCCTCCTACCATTTCTTCCTCTTTTCAACATCTACGAGGTTCTGGTAAAGTCATTGGGTTCTGTCGACACCATGGCAAAGCCCGCCAACGTTACAGGCGTAGACTTTGAGTTTGTCAAAACTCCCGTCTACCCCAAGCCCGACTTTGATAAGCTCGAGGATTGCGGTGTTCCCACTACCAGGGTGAGTTTTTGCGCCGCTGCATGATGTTTGCTGTCCTTTTGGGAGAGTTGACGAGCTACTCCGAGCTTGGTTCGGGGTCAATTGGACCCTCACACTCACGATATCAACGCCAATGGCCTTGTTCAACACAATTCTAACACCTTTCTTCAGTTCCCCGCCATCAAGAATGCTCCTCTTCCCGCCGACGGCTCTGGCGCCGACACCTTCAACAACTATGTCCTGATCTCCATCCTCACCCTTGTGCCTTGGTACATGAGCTGGAAGGTTGGTGGTGGCTTCAAGACCACCATCTTCTTCGCTCTCATCGTTGATCTTCCCCTCCTCGGCGCCTGGTGGTTGGTCATCTCCTCCATCAGCCCTCGCAAGACTGAAAAGGTCCGCCTGCCTGGTCGCCCTGTCGAGTTCTACCTCGACTTCAAGAAGGAATCGGACCGCCTCAAGTACCGCGGCCACAACAAGATCCCCATGGAGACCTTCCACGAGATGTACTTTGACGGCGAGGTCGACTTCAAGGGCGACTGCCTCGAGGTCATGGAGTACCGCCATGACTGGGCCAGCTTCCGCTTCACCATTGGCCTCATCAAGTTCTTCCTCTTTGGCATGATCCCCGAGGTCATCATGCACACTCGTTCTCAGGGTATGTATTTGCGCTCATGGCTGTTACCAACGGCGACTAACCTGGCATAGACGAGGAGCAGGTCCGTGACCACTACGACCGTGGTGATGACTTTTACGGTTGGTTCCTTGGCCCTCGCATGATCTACACTTCTGGTATCATTTCCAACATCAACCGCGAGGAGACTCTTGAGGAGCTCCAGGACAACAAGCTCACCGTCGTCTGCGAGAAGATCGGTCTGGAAGAGGGCGACAGCATGCTCGACATTGGCTGCGGCTGGGGTACCCTTGCCCGCTTTGCCAGTGAGCAGTATGGTGCTCGCGTCACCGGTGTTACTCTTGGCCGCAACCAGACCGCTTGGGGCAACAGCGCCATGCGCAAGGTTGGCATTCCTGAGGAGCAGAGCAAGATTCTTTGCATGGATTACCGTGACATTCCCGTTCCCGAGGGTGGCTACAAGAAGATTACCTCGCTCGAGATGTCCGAGCACGTTGGTATCCGTCACTTCTCCAGCTTCCTTACTCAGGTCTACAACATGCTTGACGACGATGGTGTCTTTTTCCTCCAGTACGCTGGTCTCCGCAAGGCTTGGCAGTACGAGGATTTCACCTGGGGTCTGTTCATGAACAAGTACATTTTCCCTGGTGCTGATGCTTCCACTCCTCTGGGCTGGGTTGTCGACAAGCTTGAGGGTACTGGCTTTGAGATTAAGCACATTGACACCATTGGTGTCCACTACTCTGCTACTCTCTGGAGGTGGTACCGCAACTGGATGAGCAACAAGGACAAGGTTGAGGCCAAGTACGGCAAGCGATGGTTCCGCGTAAGTTGATTCCTGCTGGTGTTGCAAGACAATGAGATGCTAATTGACGTACAGATCTGGGAATACTTCCTTGCCTACTCCACCATCATCTCTCGCCAGGGCAGTGCCACTTGCTTCCAGATCACTCTGGTCAAGAACATCAACTCGACACACCGAATTGAGGGTGTTCCCACCCAGTTCGCTCTGTCGGATGCTCTTAACAGCTGCCGGGCCGATATCGAGGCCTGGGCCGCCAAGAACAACGTCAAGACTCCTGCTGAGTATCTGTAAAGGTGCAGCCTAGAGATTGACGCGAACCCCTCGCGAGCTGCTGAGAATGCAGCAAGGCATCCAACTAAGATGCCCAACGAGAACCAGGGATCGAATTGTCACTTGGTTGATGACGGAAATTGGGAATTAGATCTATCCATATAAATGTCCCAGATTGCGCCCCCTTGGCCGATTGACTCGGTCAGGGCTGGTCCAGATGTGATTGGGAAGTTTCATGTTTCTTTACGACGATAGACGTGATGACGGCAGCGTTGAGGGAGGATATGAGACAGCAGAGCTGATAGAGTGCCACGGCACAATGATGAATTGAAAAGTTTTGACGGTGCTTGTTGAGTCAAGTGTAGGGTGAAGTCGATATGAAGTTTGAAGCTGGAGCTATCATGGCTATCATGACACCTCGCTCAGCCTCTCCAATACCTCGAACTGTGGCGTCATGCTTCACCTTGAAAAAACTTGTTATCAACTTGACGTGAATTATTGTAACCTCATTGTGCGATCTCGACTCGACAGCTCAGGATTGTCAGTTGAGTTGAAACTCGGCTATCAGCGGCAGTAACCTTTTCGGGTGAAACGAAACATTCAGCTCAACTCTCACTCGGCATACGAAATCGATCATCAACCAACCACCAGACATCAACCCATCTAGCAACAGCAATACAGAGCTGAGGGCATACAAACAATACCCAGCCAACATGAGGATCCCACTAAGAAGCGTCTCTGCCGTCAGCAGCCGCCTCGGACGCAGGACATACAGCTCACCACCAAAAACCCTCCCCTCAGCGGTAGAAGCCATCAAAGCGCATCCTCCCAAGATAATACCAGACTACCTCACCCCGATGCCCTCACACCTCCTCACAACAACCCTCACAGACCTCATATCCCCTCAAGCCCCAACCACATCCTCTCCCAAGATATCTTCCCCGCCTATCCCTCTTCTACAGGGCCATCACCTCGTCTACTTCCCCATCCAACTTCCCCCATCAAAACTCATCCCCGACGGCGCGGATCCAGATCATTCGCCTGGACCGCCGTTTACGAGACGTGTTTGGGCGGGTGGAGAGGTTATTTATGGGAAGGGGTGGAGGGAGATGGCGCTTGATGGGAGAGATGTTGTGTGTAGGGAAAAAGTGGAGGATGTTGGCTTGAGGGGGAGGGAGGGTGAGGAGAAAGTGTTTGTGGATGTTTGGAGGAGATATGGGGTTGGGCATGATCAAGTTGAGGAGAGGAAGGAGTGGGAGATTGAGGAGAGGAGGACGTTGGTGTTTATGAGAGAAGAGGAGAACTCGACATCATCGCCACCTCGTCTCATCAAGTGTGAGTTCCCATACCAACGATGCGAGTTAAACAGTGCTAAGGTATCTAGATCCCCATCCTCCATCTCACTCTATATCCCTAACTCCCACGGCAACTCACCTATTTCACTTCTCAGCCCTCTCCTTCAACGCCCACTCGATCCACATTGACCCCGTCTACGCAAAAGAAGTCGACGGCCACAGAGCCCTTCTTGTTCATGGACCTCTTACCCTCGCGTTGATGCTCCGCGTGCTAAACGACCACATTGGCCCAGCCTTGTCAGTAAACAAGTTTTCCTACAGAAACTACGCACCTCTCTATGTCGATGAACAAATGACGATTCATCTCCGTAAAGTCTCACGAGAGGATGCCGTAGAGGAACGTTGGGATGTATGGATTGAAGGACCTGAGGGAGGCATGGCAGTCAAGGGTACTGCCCATGTTGCCCCGGTAAATACAGACACATCATGATAGAGAGGATATTTCAAACATGTAAAGAACTCGATTTGTATTCTAGAAAAAATGCCGACAGGCTACAATTGACCAGTCCAACACTGGCATGACCCAAGGTAGACAGAACGCCCCTTTGTCACCCCTTCTATTATCCAGCATCCATCCATCAATTTTCCTTTTTCACATAGTATCACACAAGATACACTGCCACTAAATCGTGACAAGATGTACGCCATTAGCTATTGTACAGAGTAAAAAAACACATCTACTCGGCCCATCCAAACACCTCACTTAAAGCAAGCGTGTTGCTGCGCAGACCTGTCAACGTGACCACAATAGCCACGAGATCAAGCACTAAGAGCGTCACGCCCGCAAAGATGAATCGAGGGTTGAACACGCGGTAGAGCATCAGGTGACGGCGCAACCAACCGGCCCAGCTCATGGTAGCGAGGGCTTCAACGGCAAAGTAAGCGATAAACACACCCAGTCCGCGAGTCGCCGTCTCCAGCACTCCCCTCTGCTTAGGTCCAACCTTCCAAAGAGCGAGGAGAGGCACCGACGCCACAGCCAGGATCTGGGCGCCAAAGGTGTTGAGAGCAAGGACAATGGGTGTCCAGGGGTAACGAACAGTAAAGAGCGGGATAAAGGCACTGTCCCACTGGATGCTGGAAAGAACCGCCTGGTGACCTGTCTTGAAGAAGTAAAAGTTTCCAAGGACGGCGAGCATGACGGGTCCGATCGGGTTCGTCTTGAGCTCGTTGAGGTCCAGCAACTCAGCCAAGGTGAGGATCTGCCAGAACATGAGAGCAAGTGCTCCACCACCCATAGGCTTGGTGAGGAGGAAGCAGCCCAAGAGAAAGTTGAGAGGGAGCAGCAGATAGCGGGCGCCGATAGCGTTGCCATATCCGAGAATGCTCACAAGAGGTCGGCCATTGGCTCCAGCGGACGACAGGATAGACACGCAAGGAGGCGCCCAGACAAAAGCGGTGCTTCCAGCAACAAAGGCCAGGGCGAGCACCATTTGAGCCACATAGACTCCAATCGTCTTGGGGGTTCCCTCAGGGAGTCTTCCATCAAGCCAGCCTCCGTTGTCTGCGGCGTCGAGAACCCAGTGGGCAGCAGCAAGAAAAAGACCTCCGCGGAAGACATAGCCGATCCAGGTGGGTGCGAGACCTTCGTAGGATCTGCTTGAGACGAGGAACGACTTGATGATGGCCGGAAGAACAATGAATACAACAAAAGGAATGATGAGTTGCCACGTCGCAGAAGTCGATGAAGTTGACGAGGCATAGTAGGTCGAAGTACAGTACGGCATCTGCTCCTCACGACAGAGCTTGGAGTATGAAGCAAGACGACCAAGAACAATGAAAGCGACTGAGTGGTAGACCGCCAGGGTCTTGTCGCGACGAGACTCGATTCGGAGTCCAGCAACAGCGCTGGCTACACCGAACGTAGTGATGAAAAAGAGGAGGATGGAATCTTCCCAGATGGTGTAAGAGTTGGACGCAAATCCAATCGACTGACTGACAGTAAAGACGACAGCCATCCAGCCCCAGAAGGACGTTGGAAGAACGTTTAGAATAGTCTTGCCGACTTCATGGAGAGACGATGCGACGCCAGCCATGAACAACACTGCCACGAGAGCAGCAAGGCCATCCATTGGCTGCTGACGATACAAGCCGACTCCGGTGAGAACAGAAACAGTAAAGAGAATCTTGGGATCCCAAAGGCCCTTGAGAATGTTCCTGTGAAAGACCTCGGCTTCGTCCTTCTCGTTCTCCTTAAAGGCCAGAAGCTCTAGCTTCTTCTCGGCGTAATCAAGCTCAGCATCGTTCAGGACAACATAGTCGTCCGCCTCATCTCGAGACGAGTACATGAGAAGTAGGATAACACCGACGCCAAAGACAACAATGCCCATGATCATGCGAGGGACATCGAAGCGAGCCCAGAGATCCTTGCAGACCGTCAGAGTTCCCTCCTGGAATTTGGAGAAGGCGGTGTAGATGTCGCGGTCATTCTTGACAATTTCGAGAGCAGAAGACCAGAGAGCCGCGGGTGATCCAGCCTCGTTGCTCTGCGAAATACCCTGAGCCTTGTGGTAAGATTCTTGGTATCTTTCAATACCAGCCGAGGCGACACGCGACACGGCGGCAAGGTTGCGCCAGTCGTTACCCTTGACACCAGCAAAAGCCTCCTCGATGGGACCTCCGAGGTTGTTGTAGGGAATAGGGATTCCCAGAAGCAGAGCAAGAGTCGGCACGAGATCAATCTGGTTCACTGGTCGGATCTTGGCATTGGCTGGAGGTGTGGCGTACTCGGGTGAAGTTCTACCGAAGAAGGGCTTCTTCGAGTACATCCACAGCGCAGCCTCAACTTCGTCATCACTCTCACCACCATGATCACCCTTGCTGTCCATGCCGTGATCTCCCATAACAACGAGGAGAGTCTTGTCGTCCAGGGTCTCAACAACCTTGCGGACAAACTCGTCCATCTGTCGAAGCTTGGCACCCATGGCGGGATGATCAGGTCCGTATCGATGACCGGCATGATCAACACCCAAGCAGTGCCCAATAAGCAGATCCCAATCACCCTTGCGCTTCGAGTCCAACAAAGGGAAAATGTTGTCAATGACACCATTATCAACAGTGTGAAGGTCCCAAACGTTGAAGCTGTCGTAGGCCTTGCTGATGTTGGGCTCAAAGTACCCAGGGAAGAGAGACCACCACGTATCGTCACCAAGATGAGCAATCTTCTTGCCAGCATCCCTCAGCTGCATCAACAAGTTATCCTCCTCGATGGCCGTTCCCGCAAAGTTGCTACCCGCGTCAAGAAAGGTCGGCAGGGTTCCGGTGGTGAGACCCTTGAGCCTCTGCAGCGTAGTCGTGGGAGGATCGGCGATGAAGGGACGAAGAAAGGCATTCTGAGGCGACTTGGATGCTGTCTCATAGAGATAGGGGAAGCCATTGTGGAAGTGGTGGGCCTGCTCCGGATCCTCGGGAACCGTAAAGTCGTAGCGAAGCGCGTCGACCAGAATGACAACAGCTCGATCAAAAGACTTGGGATGCCAGCAGCCGCGGTCGACGTTTAAGTAGCCCTTGGTGTTTTCAATTGGAGGCAACGTGCAGTTGGACTTTTCCTCTAGCACCATCCGGGTGAGGAGGAAGCCGCTGGTGAAGAGCCAGATGCCAAGGGCGTGAACGGCGAGCACCCAGACCCAAAAGGCTACAGCCCATCGCCAACGCTTCTCGTACGTCTTGGATCGCCTCTTATCTAGAGCTGCGCGTCGTCGCTCGAGAGCCTCGACATTCTCGTCGGCGGGAGGAAGACCCTGGGTGGCAGCAGCTGCGCGCTGTGCTTCGCGGGCACGTTCAGCCTTGGCCCATTGTTCGGCGATCTTTTGGTGTTCGGACTGGGGTTGTTGCTTGGCCTTGGCCTTTGGTTTGGGGCTCTTCGGAGGCATCTTGGGAGTCTCTTTCTTGGGAATCAGGGTCGCAATGGCAATCGAATCGAAACCGTCGTAGGGGCCATTGGGTTGCCCACGCGGCGAAGTTGGAGGTTAAGAGAAGACGGTGTTGTTGGGTTGGACGTGGCCTGTGAGGGACATGCAAGTGATAAATGCCCTGAGAGACTTTTGTGGTGGAGCTCCCGTCGTTTCAGTGGAGTCTCTAGCCTCGGTCTCCAGGGGAGCTCCAAACAGGGACTCAATGATGTCAGTCTATTACTGCGCACCTCGATGGCCTCTTGGCAGTTGAAGTACATGTTACTGTAACAATTATTGTTGTAGGAGAGAAAATAGGATTTCATTATCATCAGTCTGTACATGAATACGTATTGCTCTAGTACAAAATCACAATCCCAACCAACAGCTGTCCTTCTCAAGCCAAATTGCCCTCTCACTCTTTGAGACGTCAGAGTATGGTCGTTCGTTCATATCTATCTGCAAACACAAAAACATGAAAGTCGACGTGGCATGATTCCATCCCTGAAATTCCACCCAAAACGCCTTTCAAATGCTTGGAACCTGTCCCACCATGCATTACCTTTTTCAAACTTGTCGTCCCCTGAATTTCGAGATTGAGCTGCAAAGCATCATTCTCTAGTCATACATATCAGCATTGGTCTGAGGGATGTCACCAGCTCCGCTGGCTCGTCTCCTTTCTTGTCGTCGTCTTTGACGTCGATTGTCCGCTGTGGATCCAGCCTCAGTTGGTGGCCCAGGAGGAGGTTGGGTTGGTCCAGACGCTATAGGAGGCGATGGAGATAGACCACTCCATGTACCGTGGCTCTCTGGACCTCCCATACTTCCCAGACTCGAGACTGTCTGGCCTCCAAACGGCGTCATTCCGGATGGTCCAGCTTGCGCCGGCTGTCCAGAGTAGTAGGCCGAGTCCTTGGGTCGTCGTTGCTTAGCAAAGGACGGGTTAGGGGGAGATAGAGTAGGCTCTTCCGCTCTTTGCTCAGCTCCCGTCTCGCCCCGCCGTTGACTCGAGTCTCGTCTGTATCGTCGCCGCCCATGAGTTGGAGATTCCAATCCGGAGATGCTACTCTCAGAGTCCCTGCGGCCGCGAGCACGGATCGCCTCTTCCTCTGTGAGTCGTCGAAGAGTCACGTTCCTTTCCTTGTCGTCGTGAACCTTGAGCTTGACACTGAGACTGGCTGGTGACGCATACCGCTCATGAGGGTCTCCGTCGCCGCCTGTCAATCTGATCGTGCTTCGTTCACCCTGTCTGCTCTGGCGAGATCGATGGGGTCGAGAACCTGGAGATATCCCTGAACCAGTAGTTTCAGTAGGTACCAGCGCAGGTGCAAGAATACCCTGAGGATCCGGTGGCATCGATGGCATGGAGGCATGCTCGACGTCTTGTCTCGAGCGAGATGCTCCTTGACCGCTGGTGGCTGGTTCAGGGGGTAACGTGCTCATTTCCGTAGGGGGGATGTAGTTGCCACGAGGAGGCCGGGGTTCAATGGTCGACTCGGACATCTCGGTTGAAAGCACCGTCTCTGCGGCAGGATAGCCCGTCTGTCGCCGTTGTTGAACAGGTCGGCGAGATGCTCTCCTCGTGGGAGAGGGGTGTCCATCTCCAGTAAACCTAGACAGCGAGGTACCGGATCTCAAGTCCTCTTCGTCCCTCACGCGCTCTTCCTCCTTTGCGTTCCTCCTGTCTGCCATCTTCTTGGCAAACCAGCCCATACCGAATCCACCAAATAGTCCCTTAGCAAATCCACCACTTGGTTTCTCAGGTTGCGGCCGACGAGACGGGCTCACATATGATGAATAATCCGATTCTTCGAAGACGCTACGCCGAGAAGCCGGTGGTCGACGCGCTGCTCGTGGTGTTACTGACGGCGGGGGAGAGCTCATCATGGATTCAGTTCCGTCAGCCGCGCTCCTAAGCTGAGACATGACGGGCGGTGGACGACGGTTTCCAGAGGGTGGGATAAGTGAAGTTTTGGTGATGTCTGGTTCTCTCCTGTGTTCCGGTGTGACTGTGCTGGTGTAGTCGGTCCTGCTAAGATCGGTTCTCGTAAACTCAGTCCTTGTGTAATCCGTCATCGTAGGAGCGCTCCGGCTTGAACGATGTCGCCGTGGTGTTTCGGTTGATACAGCCGTATACTCGGAATAGTCTTCGTCTCGGGCTCGATCCTTTTTGGCAAAGAGTTTTCCAAGACCCAAGATGGCCAAGAACTTTGCGAATCCACCACCTCCCTCTGCCTTCCTGGTTGGAGCCTCCGAGTACTTTTCCCCTGTCATGCCGGTAAGATAGCTAGCCGAGCCATTCCGAGATGGGAGGACTTCAGGTCCGCGGCTTCGGTCGAGAGATGGAGATCGGCTGCGAATTCGACTCCGGTCGTCTCCGTCCTTGTTCTTGTTTCGTCCTCGAGCCAGAGCCGCAAGTCCTGCTCCTGCAGCGAGAGGGCCCAACCATTTAGCCTTGCTAGTGTGACCAGTTTGACCAGTATGATCAGTCCTATAGTCGGAGAAATACTCAGACTCGGTGATTCGTGTACGTGTATCCTCAGAGGGAGGCACCTCGGATCTCGCCCCACTCATGTAATACTCTCGTCGATCTGCTGACCTCCAGCTCAGAATAAAGTAAAAGATGAGCAGGAAGAACATCCAGACAGCGTAGAGAATGAAACAGTATAGAGGTGAGCCGTATAGGGTGAGACCCAGTGGGACCTGGACAATACCCAAAAGGGCAATCGTCCTGCCGAACCATTGGTGGAGCATGATGCGGAGCGATCGGGACTTGGTGATCCTGAGTACCAGACGACCTCCAAAAAGTTGGATGAGGAAGAGGGTAAATATGGCGACACCGATTCCATGGTGAGGGTTCGTAAGGCTTCTCTCGGGTCCAACAGCAAAATATCCGAGAACGAATACGGCTATCAACATCAATCCGGCAAAGATGTTGACCTGGGCATGATATTTGACGGCCCAGCCCGGACGGTTGGCGTAGAATCTTGCCGTCATGACGGAGAAGGGGATGAGGAAGAGGAATATTATCACGGCCATGATGGCGTGGGCTAGAACGAGGCTGTGGTATTGTTTAACCGTGGAAAATCTGTTTCCCATGCCTATGACGAGCTGTTAGTCTTGCCACCAGTAGAGGCAATGAAGGACCAAATACCATTGTATCGCATGGTTTCGTAATTGAGGCCCTGAAGATTGGGCAGTAGAAAGGTATTCTTGTCAAAGTCCCATGTTCCATCCCCTACAACCATGGTCTCCGAATCATAACTCACTGCACCAGGTGCAGAGAGTTCATCTGTTGCCGGCGCCATGATGGCGACGACGAGATGGAACGAAGTGTTTCAGTCAGGACGGGTATAGTGTCTCGATGGCAGACAAGGAAATAGTCGATTTGGTGAAGCGGAGGTGGTCTCAAGATAGGAATGCTGTGGCTGTCGTCAACGATATCGTAGGGCCGTTTTGTAGGTTGGAAAGCGGTGACGAGTGTCTTAGGCCAAAGAGCCTGGCGAACACATGTTGGTCGAGGGTGATGTAGTCGTCGTCGTCCAAGATAAGGGGAGTTTATTGATTATCGCAATCAATTTTAGGGAGTAAGTTTTGTGCGAGGAAAAGGAAGCTTGAAAAAGCCAAGCACACGTCACGGCGTAAACTAAGAGCGAAGACCTCGGAGGCAGCTCTTCAAGTTCTGACCCGACTCGGTTGCTGGGACTCGTTGGTGGGGAAACGACAGCGCATGTGGCTGCCGAGCTGCTATCTTTGTTTTGTGGGGCGAATCCTGGAGTTGTGGCTGGGGAGTTCGTATTCTTTTGTTGGGATGGAGTTGTGGCTGGGAGAAGGTTCACGTGATGAAGCACGTGCACCCTTGTTACCCATCATGATTCATGATGGACAACCTTGTCATGATGTCAAGTTGCACAAATCATCAGCACAATTAACTGCCTATAATTTTGCTGGCACGTGCATAATCTTTTCGAACCCTCTGCCAAGATGGAAATACTTGTCGGTAATCCATAGAATTGGCGGCCGACCCTTGCGCCACTCCATTGTTTCAGCCGTAGTCCGAATCATCCGTTTCCATCCTCCTGCCTGAAGCGGCCACGCTCTCATGATGTTCAGACGATGCTAGCGCTTAGAAGTTAACTTACCTCTGACAATAAAAACACTAGGGCCTTGGTTTATTCCAGGATCTGGAAACATTCTTCGTCCCAATGCAACCCGGTTGGTGATCGGTCGATCCTCGATCAGCGTCTTCAGCCCCTTTCCATCAACAGATCTCTCCGCAGTAGCACCTGACTTTATGCGTTTCTCACATTTACATAGAACGTTTCATCATCTTTAATTAAGGCAACTGTACAATGAAACGTTTACCTGCAGCTCTATGAGCCCCCTGAGAGCGGCCCCACCGTTGATCGAAACATCAGAACCAGGGTTGTGGGATGAGATGCATCTTTGCAATGCTCCAGGGCTGAAGATTCCCTGTACAGATCAATCGGTCCGCAAAGACTCAGCTTCAAGGTCAGGGTTGTATCCTTTGCCTTCAAACGTTGTACTGCATGTGAATCCTTCTCGGGGGCATGAACTAGCAGTCCCTTCATGTTATTAGATCCGGTTCTACCCACCAAGATGGTGGCTTATAAATTCGGCCTTTCCGTTCATCTTGTATCTATTCATTGACTTTCAAATCAACCATCTTTCTTTCTCTACTCTCTCTGATTATCCCTGTGACTGACTTTCGAGTGCTGGTCACTTGGTTCATTCGAAATGTTGACTTCTTCCTTTTTGACTGCCCTCGCGGCTTTGGCTTCGTCCGCCCACGCCTGGCTCCCTACCGATGACTCTCATGCCGGCCTTAACAAGCGTGACGTCGCCCTTTTCACGTACCCTCTGCACCCAGACTCAAACAAGAGATGGCTTCCCAGCAGCAACAAGATTCGAGGAGTTAATCTTGGTTCGCTCTTTGTCTACGAGCCCTGGATCGACAGTCAAGAGTGGGCCAACACTGGATGCGAGGGGGAGAAGTCCGAGTTTGACTGTGTCATGAACAAGGGCCAAGAAAGTGCAGATAATGCTTTTCAGGAGCACTGGAAGCGCTTCATTACCCAGGAGGACCTTGATGAGATGGCCAGCTACGGCTTGAACACAATCCGAGTTCCTCTGGGATATTGGCTGAAGGAGGATCTTGTGGATGCCTCGGAGCACTTCCCCAAGGTATGACTATCAGAAAGTCAGCCAGAATGTCACTAACATCATCGAGGGAGGGCTGGACTACCTGACTCAGCTCTGCGGATGGGCCAGTGACCGAGGCTTCTACATTATCCTTGAGTAGGTAATATGTCCAAGATGATCAACCCTTCTAACATCAAGTAGTCTTCACGGTGCCCCCGGTGCTCAGGAGCCCAACCAGCCCTTCACCGGCCAATACGCTCCCGCAGTCGGATTTTATAACGACTACAATTATGGCCGCGCCGTTGAGTGGCTCGAGTGGGTCACCGATATCATCCATACCAAGAACGAGTATCGCAACGTCGGCATGTTGGAGATCGTGAACGAGCCTCTGAACTGGGACAAGGCGGTTGACTCTCTGCGAAACACCTACTATCCCAATGCCTACAAGGTGACCAAAGTCCCCCTTTTCTATCTTCAAATGCTCATATTGTCAGGCCATCCGCAAGGTCGAAGACAACCTCAAGGTCGCCACCAACGACCGCCTCCACATCCAGATGATGGGCTCCCTCTGGGGTAGCGGCAACCCCACCGAGTTCCTCGACGACAAATCCTTCACGGCATTTGACGATCACCGCTACCTCAAGTGGGACACGAGCGTCGAAGTCTCACAGAGCGCCTACATCCAAAAGTCGTGCCAGGACGATCGCAACACCGACGGACCTACCATCGTTGGCGAGTGGAGCATCGCCGTGCCTGATAATGTTGAACAGACGGATGCTTGGAAGCCTCAGAGTCAAAAGGACTTTTATAGCAAGTGGTTTGCTGCTCAGGTTCATGCTTATGAGCAGCATACTCTTGGTTGGGTGTTTTGGACTTGGAAGACCAACCTTGGTGATGACTACCGTTGGTCTTACAGAGGTACGTGGGTTTAACTATTGACAGGGATCTGATACTAATGATTTACAGATGCTGCGAGGGCCGGTGTTATCCCCAAGGACCTCAACTCTCTCCCAAGCGTCTGCTAGACGACTGCCCTAGGGCTGAGCTAGCTTTGAGTCGACAACAGCTCCTGTGGAGCATGTACATTATTTCTTTCGCTGTCTGTCGTTCATGGATTTGCCTCGCTTATCGTTCCCTGTACATAAAGCATCTTACTTTGAATTATAGAATCAGCACATTGGAACTTGAGGCCGTATGGAGCTGGCTTACAGCTGCTATAACACCAAGAGAGAGCACAAGCAAGACTAAGCAACAACATGCACTTATTACTCGATATTATAATTCTAACTCACAGGCAGTCATAGTTTCCTATCCAAGATGCCTCCACATTAATTACCTCCTCAAGATCAGAACAAGCCAAGCCGCCAAACGATATCCAGCAATGATGGAAATCATGATTCCGACATCCCGTCCCATATGCCCTGTCGAATATCCATATTGATCCAGCACAGCCTGTCCATCAATCTTGCATTGATCCGCCAAAGGCGAGTCATACATGCAGCGACATCCATCACCACAACCATACACGCGCTCCGAGAATTCGTTGACCATCATGCCCTCAAAGACGTACTTCTGGTAATCCCAGTAGTGAAACACGTACTTGTAAAACACGTTGAGAACAGTGGGAGGAACCATAAATCCACCGACAGACATCCACAGGCCGTTCGCAAAGGCCACGAGTGCTAGCGAAATAACGAAGCTGGGGAACAGCGACGTCATGAACACGACGAGCGACTCAGCCGCCAAAAGGTCAAGGAACAGCCACATAACCCACGTAAAGAAGGCAGTCGCCGTAGGCTGAAAGTTGGAAAGCCAGTAAGAGATGACGGAGAAGAGTATCGAGATGAGGAACAGGTACGGGATGCCGATGAAGAAGTTGGACAGGATCAGCTCTGTCGCTCCGTATAGACCGTTGTGGTGCTCCTTGACGTACTGCAGCCTGTCTTCGAGGAACGCTGGGACGTATGCGACGGCCATGAAGCTCATGAATGCGGATCCGAAGAAGAGGGCGTTGATGAAAGGTTGGATTGACTCTTGGTCTGCGTCGAGACGCACCCACACGGTACCCATCATGATGGCAAGACCAAGATACATTGCAATGCGGATACCATACGCCACCACGTCGCGATAGCTCTTGACAAAGCTCCGGTGAAGGAGCGTGAGCGTCAGACTAGGCATGCTAGGCCTCTTCTCAACTGCTTCGATGCTCAAGTTGCCCCCAACCGACTCGGCGGTCGTGATGGCGCTGCTCAACTCACTTGCTTGTCGAGATGACTGCCAGGCTGCATGAAGCTTGTCCAGCTTACGCGCCGCCTCTTCCCTATCCTGGGCAAAGTCAATGTTAACCAACTCGAGCAGATGCTCAGCCGGGTTAACATATTGCGGCAGCGCAGCGCCAGCCTCTGCATAGTAAGTCGCAACATCTGCCACAGGACCAAAGTAATGCGTCTTGCCTCCAGATAAAAGCAACAACTTGTCAAACAAGTTGAACGTCGACGTAGAAGGTTGATGGATGGAGCACACGACGACTAGGTTGTTTCGTTTGGCGACGGCGCGTAGGTACCGGACGACCTCGCAGCTAGCAGCTGAGTCGAGGCCGCTGGTAGGCTCGTCGAGGAAGAGCAGCTTTGGGCTTGTGATGAGTTGGCTAGCAACACCAACACGGCGTTTCTGACCGCCAGAGATACCCTTGCGAATGGGTGTGCCGATGAGTGTGTTGGCTTGGCCAACGAGACCGAAGGATTCGAGGAGGCTGTCGATGCGCATGAGGCGTTCGCGCTTAGGGAGAGAGCTGTCGACCATGTTAGAAGTGTACTCATGATATCAGTCATGGATCAACATACCTGGTGCTGGCAAGTCGTGAAGAAAACTCGAGCGTCTCGCGCACGGTCAAAGATCCGATAAGAGCATCCTCCTGCTCAACAAAGCACGACACTTCTCTAAAAGCCGCTCGCGATAGGCGACTCCCATTGACGAGAACTTCAGCCTCGACATCGCTCGCGTTTGTCGGTCGACGAGCTAGGACGTTGAGAAGTGTCGTCTTGCCACAGCCTGAAGGGCCCATGAGGGCGCAGATCTCGCCTAAATTCGTAAACAAAGTCAGATACAGTCGTCAGCGACGGGCGGACTCAAGGTCAACTCACCTGCTTCAACGACACCCTCGACATTATCGACAATAGCCTTTGGCTCCTTCGTCTCGCGATCCTTCACCGTAACCGTAACACCTCGCCACGTAAGGTTCTTGACAGTCGTGTTAAGCAAATGCTTCTCAGCAACGGGACGCTCTTCAAGATCCATGTTGGGCTCGAGGTTATCCATGAGATAATACTGATCAACCCTCATGGAGAAGAAGAAAAAAAAAGAGCGGGGGGAGAGAGGCAAGATATATAAAGGGTAGATCGATCTGCCTGGGCAACACAAATTATGTCAAATTTGGGAACGAGAAGGGCGGCGTAAGTGAGACAGCTAGCTCGCAGCCAGGTGGCACCCACACAATCTTGGAGATTTGATATCGGATCTCGGGGTGGTGTAGAACTTGGCTCAAACCTTGTTGATTTTCACCATTGATAGCTGTAACCAAGTCTATATATTGTCATCCAAGGCCTCCTTTCACTGCCTCTCCTTCTTTTATCGAACGACATTCCAGTTGCTCTAAAAATTTTCCAGACTCAAGCAAAAACCCCAGCTGAAGCATCCCAAAATCTGACATGCGTAACACAGACCCATGCCTGCATCTCCTAGCTACCGAAGCTAGGCAATCAACTCTACAGCGTGTAAGCGCGTCCACCCCGGACCAAAGATACCAGAAAGGAAGTGCCCCGGCGCCTCTCGTCCATTCCTGTGGTACGGCACGAGGCCCGGTATCCGCCCCCGAGACCCTCAGCCCCGACTGTGGAGCCCGGTGTCCCGTTCCCGCTTCGGGGACCTGTGACTCCCTTGATTCGCCCGTTTATTTTCACTTGGTCGGCGACTAGGGGACTTTCCAGGTTGTAGGGCTGAGGCGCAAGGTCGCCGACGGCCCGATACGGAGTGAGCGGCCACTCTCGTCGGTCTCGGCCGATGGCAGCGTCACAGCCACTCCTACCGGTATAGTGGTACGGATACTCTTGTCTGGTTATAGCAGGTGCCGATAATCCGTATTGTATCATTCGTCTAATTGAAGCTTTCCATCACTCCGCAACAAATGGGGCTATTATGCTTGATCCATCTTGATGCAAGGTACCAAGAGGGATCCATCCATACAGGACACACTCTGTCCACCAGAATAGCCAAGACTCACCCTCAGATCAAACGATTCTTGTAGTTTCATATGAATTTAATATCAAGAGTTGAGTGAAGTACAGTAAATAGTCGTAACTTGTGGATATCTGCATGGCCCTTAACGCCCTTTCAAACTCTCCAGAGTCTACTCCCAATCAATCCCAGGAACACTTCCTTTTGTCTAATATCCATCCCATAAATCCATGCCAAGCAAATGTCACATTAAACCAATCAATGCATTTCCATCTCAAAACCGTCATGTTGAGCCCGTAATCAACCTATCATGCCTGACAATGCTGGCATGCTCTGCATGTTTTCAATCTCGTTGATGATAGAATCGTCGGCCGCAATGCTATTCAAAACCTCCTCTTGAGAAAGACCGAGCCAGTACTGGGGTGTCATCTGCTGCTGCTTCTTGGCCCTGTAAATCTCCTGCGCAACACCTTTGACCTGGCGTCCGGCGCGGTCGGCGTTGCCCCAAACTAGAGACATCTTGGAAAGGGCCCCGATGTTGAGGCGAATCTGCTGGCGAAGGTTGTCGTCGTCGTGAGGAACAAAGAAGAGAGCCCACTTGCTCAGATGCACAATGGAAGAAAGCGTAATCACGCAGGTAAAGAAATGCGTGTGAGAAAGCAGCGAAACGCGTTGGGTGATCAACTTGCTGATCTCGCCCGCCGACTGGATCGTGTGTTTGGTGTGGGCGTTGAAGGCATCGCCAGAGGGAACAGGGGCGTGAGGCGCGCAAGAGTTGACCGGGCGAGTCGAAGAAGAGTCTAACTGTGAGTGTGGCTGATGAAGAAGAATCGATGTGGCATGCATCATCATATGAGCTTGAAACATCATTTCGTCTAGACGGCCGTCTTTGCCGAGGGAATCCTGTTTCGATGCTGGGAGATGCAGGCGCCAGTTGGTAAGGAGCGTTTCGATGCGAGCAAGATTCTCGTCGTCGGGCCCGTAGATGGGAGGAACTCTCATAAATTTCCCCAGATTTCGAGCACATTGAATACGGTAGGCAAAGGATGAAAACTCGCGATCCTCGCCCGAAAAATCGATATCGTCCATGTCTTCAAGATACATGGGCTGCGGTATGTCCTTGACACGGCGCATTAGCATGTGAGGCAATCAGAGAGAACGAGGTCGTCATACTCCTGAAAGATACTGGTATTCCTCGCATGGCAACGCGACATCACAGGGTTCATCAAAGAGGAGGAAATTGGTGCTGCGATGAACGCCGGCAATCATTCCGTCCACCACATAGAGATCCCACCACGTCCGTCGCCAACTCTCTTCAAGCACCGCCATTCCGCGGCCATGAAGGGTAGCAAACGGGCGGGTGTTGAGCCCAATTCGAACAGCCAGGCGCTCAGCATCGGCCAAAATCTCCCGTGCCTTGTCTTGGTGGCCTTGTCCATCAAGACCAATCAGGAGAAGCAGCAGGGCTTGCACCAAGAATCCGTCCTTAGAACGATTAGAATCGTACGCAAGACGGCGGGCTTCTTGGAAGAAACTGGCACGATGTGGACACGCCTCGATGTAAAGCGAGCCGATCCAGCGCATGGCAGCCAATAGTGGCTCAAGGGTGGTCTCTTTAGCGATGCGAAGGAGATACTCCTTGGGCAACACAAAAGGGTGGGCGGCATGAAAGTGGTGGTAAAATGAGTCGAGGCAACGCTCAGCTGGTGTTGGTATAGGGACCTGTGCAGGAACAACACCCTGGTGGTGGCTCAAAGCCAGCTCTGATGCCTCGATCGCAGCTCCATCTGTCATGCCATAAGGACGAAAGAGTGAGATGTCGCTGTTGCCATTGCCATTGGAAGTCAGGGCGGGATCAAGGAGAGAAGTAGAAAAAGGAGACGCCGCAAGGTCATCGGTTAGAGCAGGGTTCAAGCAAGTGATGGATCTCATCGAGACTGAAGTCGCGGGCGCAAGGGACATTGGGCCCTCTGTGCTGCTGGTAGATTCTCTTGCGGGAGACGAAGCATGTCGCTTGTTAGGATTGCGCGCAGTACCGCGACGCGGGCCTTTGTAACCGCGTCGCGAGGCGACGTAGATGCATTCTGAATTGGAGCTGGTGCAGCGAGAACAGGGGTTCTGGCCGTCGCATTTAAGATGCTTACCACGCTGTTGGAATTGTTAGCAACTTGAACAATGAATCAGGCTGGCGCGTTATGCGTCAAGGGCAACATACACAAGCAAGACAAGCTGCTGGGACAGAGGGAATGTTGGCGCGAGACTCTGTCCCAGCAGAAGGCGACGCCGATGGGGATGCCATGCGATCGAGGCCGAGGATCTGTGAGTTGGGAGAGGCGGAATTGGATGGTGGGTCTTCGGGGCTGGAGAAGCCATCGTCTTTGCCGCCATTGGAAGGCGCTGGCTGTAGCGAGGTTGCGGCGTCCATTACGGGAGGATACCAGATGTAGGGGGTATTCGGTAGGCCGGCGTAAAACGTGTAGGGCGAGGCTGATGACGAGGGAGGATATGTATATGATGGAGTTGAAGAATAAGAAGTGAAAATGATCCGAGAGGAAGTACCCGGACCGCTTGCATAAGGGAACGACTTCATGAGGAAGGCGCGCCACCGGCCGGGCTGTCGGGAGTCGGTTCGGGATTGTTTGGTGTCGAGGCCGATTGAGCGGGCGCGCAAACACGGGGTACAAGTGTCTGGGCTGGGGAAAGCTTGGGACAACTTGTATATCTGATAGGGGGCGTTCGGGGTTTGAGTTGATCGGTAGGTAGTTGATCAGATAAGGGTTTTTGAGCTGATGATGTGTAAGCCTCTTGCTTAGATATTCGAAGGCAATGGAATCGGTTACATACAGAATGTGTTCTTTTTAGGTGCGGTCTAATCGTGTACTTGGCCGTTGAAGCAATCGTGTATGTATAGAGTCTCGTGGTTTCAAACGGCGATTGACTGAGTGTGGCTAGAGCTGCAACCACCTGGAAGTATCTATCTGTAGTTGCCCAAAATGATGGTGATATCTGAAGGAATGGATGAATGCTTCAAGCACCATGGAAACATATGGGATATCTCGGCATCTAATATCTCTCCTGGAACTCCCCCCAAACCCATTTTAACCCTAAGCCCAACTACCACCGATTGGAGCTATCGTCAACCCTGGCCCAACCACATGCACCCCTGGATCCTCACACTCAACTAGACTGTGAGATTGGATTGCCAAACCCCATGGCGCACGCAATTCGAGGCGTCAGGGTCTCTCGGCCATTAGACGGACGTTTTCCCATCTGGGAGTGGAGGCTGGGGCGTCCAGCACCGCCCAACCTGGCGTCCGCCGTTTGGATGGATGGATGACCCTCCCATCCATGCGTGCGTCTTACATGGAAGATGCAACTCCAGCCCTAGTGGGCTCTGGCATCCCCATCCCCATCCCCATCGGCCGCCTTTTCCAAACCGCTAGGTTGGGTCCCTTTGTCCCGCCGCCCCAGTATCCTGGTACTCTACAGTAGCTTCTGCAACGTGCCACTCGTCGTGGTGACAGGAACCTGGAACTCGTCAACAGAAGATGAGCGATGGCATCGGCTATCGCCGTAGCTCTGCGCGCCTATGCGGGGCAAGGATCCTTCTAGCGAGAAACACAACTGCTTTCTCGGACCTGGGCCAACGAACTGCCCTTGGTTGACTTCAAGAGACCAACTTCACCGGTGAGGGGGTTGAGCTAGCGTATCCAGAATGGCGGATGCACGAGGGGAAGCTTTCGCCTCGTGGCCGAATTGTCGGGACCGCCGCTGTATGCTGCCGGTGACCTTCTGGGGTATCATGTGAAGCTTTTGGATGTGTTGAGACATCTCGATGCAGCTGTCGTCGACCATCAGCTTCCACTACTGCACATTGAACATCTCTGCCATCAGCTATCAACGCTGCACATTAGACATCTCCGCCATTCACTATCACGGCCGCATATTCGGCACAACAATCGTCACTCTTGGTCCGTGGCTGCATCTGAGGCCAGATGGGTGGGCGCCATGATTGTAGGACAGGTGAGCTTGAGTCACCCGGTATAGCCCAAGCAGGCATGATATCAAAAACAACAATCAAAAGCCTCCATCCGTGTTTGTCTCTGTAAACGAAAACAAGAGAAAAAAAACGCCTATGATGTCGGCGTGGGTGCATGCATGCATGTGTGCACGCACGGTCTTGTCCCGTTGTACCGGCGGCTATGCATCTGAATCTCGGTGCTTGGGGGGGCTGTGCCCTCTCAACGTCAACAACGTGGAAGTGAAGCATCTAGACCCTCAATCGAAAACCCTCTATTCGAAATATCGGTACGTACTGTCACCGCTATTCTGCGTCTCTTGCCGGTGAAGCTGTCTCCATCTGGGCATCGGTTATCTGCGAGATGCAACCCCCCTTGCAGTTTTGATTTGAGTCGACGCCGCCATTTGGTGGTTGACGACCTTTGCGATTCCGCCTAGATCAAGTTTCTGCCCTACGCAGCAAGGGAGCCTACCCCCGGGATGAGGGTCACTTTGAACAGGCGGGCCTCTCTAGCGCATTGGCAACGGCTTGATACAACGTCGGGTTGGTTCAGTATCATCGCCCATTGAGTCCTTGGTGAGAATTGGAGAAGCAAGGGGTGTACATATAGATGACCGAAAGCGGAGGTTAAGCCACGCCTGTCGGATTCAATGCCATCGATGCTTGATCAACACGTCAATTCCAGATCAGCACGTCGCCTCGACAACTGTTCAGCTACTGCAGTTCATCAAGCCCCGACCCAAGCTTTCGCCAAGTAACGTCTTGCATTCATAGGTCGATACAGCCTCAAGCCACGCTCCCGGTGCGGCTGAGACATGCAGCTAGCTGGTCGTTGTCCATCCACAACAATCACAGGGCCCAAACATACCAAAAAATGATCCTTCCCGCGTTGAAGGAATATCAATCTCTGATATATCCTTGATCACGGAATCACCGTCTGCGTGTAACATGCCTTTTGCGTCTCTACGCAGTATTTTTCGCTTTCCCACTCTGTTTGGCTCCAGAAGGAATAAAAATTCTCCCAGCGAATAAAGACGATGGAAATGTGGAAGCCTTCGGTCCGCCGACAGGGTTCACTAGAGCCGTCCCTGTCGCAAACGGCCGTGATGTCATGCATGGCGTTTGCTAGCGAAATGCGGCACGTTTCAAACATGGGAGATGAGCGGTCTGCTTAACAATTTATTTCTTCAACCTCAGGCCAAGACAGGAGAGCATGGGTCAGTTGGCATTCTGGAACTAAGGAATAAGGTGAACCAAACTTCTTACAGCCGCGCCTATTCCAGAAGGAGGACGAGGTGAGAGATGTGAGAGAGCCATCTATCTTGTGAGAGCCCAGTATTTCACCCACACCCAGTGATTGACGCGTGAGAGATTGAATACATCAGCTAGCCACAGGGACCAGGACAATCCACAACCGTGTCAAAATTCCAAATTCTCTACTCCAGAAAGATCCATTATCAAGGCGTTACTCTCATCTACTTATAGATCTCATCCCCTTTTTTAAGCTCATTCTTAGTAACTTCTTACAACGAACTGTGCCCACCCAGCCAGCATAGGCAGATCTACACGGCATTGGACGATGCGACATAACCTCAGCGACCGCAATCAAACCGGGGGGATATACAGGCCAAGGTATTAGGCCGTGGCCAATCAAGCTCTTGAATTGCTCCCTTTCACCATCATCAGCCACATCCGCCTCGAAGAATGCTTCCTGTTCTGGCTTCAGTGGTGATCACTTCTATCAGCCCTATCCCCGTCCCTGTCCAGAATTGGTACTGTACCCGATGGGCCAGATACCAAAAATACTTTGCAGGGGTGACATGAGGAGGGGCTGTCAAAATAAAATGAACACATCACTAGCTAGATAACTCAAGACTGACCCTCTATTACTGTCACTGCTCTGTAAGCGCTGTGCATTTTGCTCATCTCTTACCAACAAACCCAGCCTCCGCCACACTTCAACACCCATCTCAACCTCAACCCAAGACCCTCTGCCACACGCCGCCCCTGTCCCTTCTGCTACGTAGTAGAACAACCTACCGGCAAAAAAGGGCTGAGTCTGTAGGGCAGACCATGGATCCCGTCTCCCTAGCCGGCTTGGCCATCGGCGTCGCTTCCATTGGCCTACAGGTCTATACAGGATGTATCCAAGGCACGTCGTCTAACTTCAGCGCAGATGTAACAATATCCTAACTTGCAACTTTGACTACTTCAGGGATTCAGCTTCTCGTAACGGCCTTGGGCTATGAGGATGACTGCAAATATCTCAACCTGCGCCTCCGCATGGAGCAGCAGCGCCTCTTTGCCTGGAGCGAGACGTCTGGCCTGCTTGACCTGGATGCGAAGAACCAGGACAAGATTCTCAACTCCAACGTCTTCAACTTGCACCGCCAGACGGTACTTGACCTTCTCGTGCAGATTCGATGTCTCTTTGATGAGTTTACAGAATATCAGCGGAAACACAACAATCTCTGCACCGTCGAGGATCATGATGGCATCTTGGGAGCCCCTGAGAAGGACGCCAAGTTGGCAAACTATCCCATGACAGAGAGGAAGCGAGACTTTATCAAGAAGGCCATGCTTGGGCTCAAGACCAAGTCGGTTGAGGGCATCACTAGGCTACGCTGGACGTCGTTTGACAAGACTGGGTTTGAGAGGCTGCTTGCCAAGTTTTCCATCCTTAATGATAACATGACCGATCTCCTTGACCACTCCCTCCAGGTCGAGATCAGGAACACTGTACAGGACACCAACAGGGGTGTCTTGCTCCTGCACCACAAGATCGCCGACCTGAGCCATCTCGTGCTGGCCCTCAAGTCCCAACTCGATGCTGGCAGTCCCGGTGGCCCATCTTCCATGTCCAAGATGGAGCGAGAAGCCAACGCTGATGCACTGAGGCAGTTGTCAAGACTGGCCAAGTTCAAGGCCTTTAATGAGACCATTGACCCAAAGTCTGAAGGTCCCGCTGTCATCGATGAAGCCGCTGCAAAGTTCCTCGAGCTTGCAAAGCCTGGCCATCAGCGCAACCTCTTCGTACCTCGTTACCTCGTCGAGGTAGAACCCGAAGTTGACGAATCGGACGAGCCAAGATGCGAAGCTCTCATGAAGACAGCAGAGGGGAAGAAGAAGGTCTGGATCGAGTGGAAAGATTACGATAATGCAGGACCCCGGCCAGGATCTCTATCCAAGGCAGACATCATCGAGAGAGTTCGGAAACTTGCTGCGCTGTTGAATCACAGTCCAAAACCTGAAGCCTTTCGCACTCCCCACTGCTTAGGCTTTTTCGACAAAGCCGATCCCAACATGCCCGAAGATGATGTTGATATTCTGGACCGCCGACTGGGTCTCATCTTTGAGCGTCCATCTGACGATAACCTCGACACCACACGTCCCCCAGTCTCGCTGCGTGAACTTCTCCAAGATCCAAAGATACGCAAACCTCGGGTTACTGAACGAGTCCGTCTCGCACACGCCATCAGTAACTGTCTCCTCTACCTGCACGCCGTACACTGGCTGCACAAGGGTCTCCGAAGCCACAACGTGCTCTTCTTCCTCACGCGGGATGGCCACGTGGAATACCGCCAACCATACCTTTCGGGCTTTGACTTCTCTCGCCCTGGTGGCTCTGACGAGATGACAGATGCCCCGGGAGATGATGCGGAGCATGATCTGTACCGACATCCCAACGCCCAGTCGAACCGCCGACGGGAGAGGGAGCGTTCCAAGAAGAGCTTCGATATTTACAGCCTAGGCGTCATTCTTGTCGAGCTCGCGCATTGGCGACCCATCGAAGAGGTGCTAGGCATCGATATGCGACGTGCACGAGGTCGCCCTGATGTAGTGCGAAAAGTGCGGGATGCTCTTCTGGCTGAAGATAGAGTCGCAGCTGTGGGCGCCGACATGGGTGAGAGATTTGAGGATGCGACTCGAAGGTGTCTGGCTGGTGGAGAAGAGCTGGGACTGCGAGATGGCGATGACGAGACCGAGGACGATGTTGCTGAACGCCTGTCAATCAAGTTCTATAAGGAGGTTGTGAAGCGATTAGAGGACGTGGTTGTATGAGCGTCAACAGCTCTAGCAAAACAATATACAAGACTTGGACGAAAAAGAGAGGATGAAGCATAAAACTTTGTATAATAAGTCTATCGAAAATTCGTTGCATCATTAATCGAGTGATGGCAAACCCAGCCTAATTCACTCGAACGATCCTGGCTCGTCCATTAAACGCCGGAGAAAGCAATTGAATCCCAAGTTCTCCAGGGATCGCGATTAACAGCAGCAGTCTAGACACTCGAAGCAGCAGAGTCCAGCGCAGATGCCGCAGCAGATGGCCTATAGAAAGTCAGTCAAGCTTGACAGTAGAGGGTCATTGGATCCTTACACCACCGTCACCCTTGCCTCCTCGCATTCCCATGGTGGGTTGATTCTCCATGGACATGGGCTGAACCGGGCGCTATCAATGAAATTCAATCAGTAAAATTCCCCAGAGTAAACGACCGCGCAGATAATCGAATCTGCGCATCAATGTCTTGGTAACGCAGCCAAGCCCGGAGGCCAAGACGGAGGGAATGCACGACGTACCGGCTGCTCGGCGTTGTTCTGTCCGGCCGGGAACGCGGCGGGAGCCGGCTCGCGGGGCATTTGCATCGGCGAAGTTGAAGTAGAAGCGGGCATGTTGATGATGGTTGATGGTACAGATATCGTTTGGTAGAGTAGTAAAAGGCAAATGAAGCAGGTGTATACGAGTGATTTACAAAGTATGGATGTAGAGGAAACAATCAGAGCTGTCACAAAGGGCGCGGGCCGTTGATTTAATAATGTCTTGGGTCGGCCGGCTGATGCAGGGTTCAACGTTTGGCGTGCGCGGGTCTTGGGCTCGAATTGGATCCCCTCTTCAAGCGAGCAAGGCAGGGCGTTTCGGTTCGGTATCTGGGGAGGGATCGTCATCAGCACATGGATTTTCAACTTCTAACAAGATCCATGCCTTCTAGGGCAACGCCTGACCAGGCCAGCTGCGAGATTGTGCCGTGACCTCCCGAGGGTCAGCAGGATTCCCCCATCAGGCAATATCGGCTGCTGCAGGTAGCACGGCAAGTCTCGCCATGACCTGAAAAGATACACTCTCCCACGGGGTCATTGCTATGGTGGTGAGAAGTCCCCCATGCCGGGTACCCATTGAGTCAAATCTGTCATGTGGCTGCTGATGGCAGATGCGAACCACCCAACGGCGTGCCCGACGCCCTGCAGTAGCATCCATGGCAAGGCCTTGTCAAAGAAGGAGCAAGAACAAAGACGAAAAGCGAAAGCGAAAAAAAGCAAAGTCCCCTGTTATCGGACCATGACGTATGCCTGACGAAGCAACTTGTTCATTTCGTAGAGTGTTTGCAGGCTATCCCTTGCTTTCCCATGTGGAGCGCGAATATTCAATTCGGCTCTTTGAAGAAATACGATCTATTTCTAGAAAAAAGTCCGAGCCAGAACCGCTTTTTCGGCTTCGCGGCAAGGCTGTTTGACACAAAGAGCCACAGCCGCGCGTCTTGCCAAGTCACAACGATAATAGTTCGGCCGAGAGAATGGTTCATGGCGGGTTTCCTGGACCCATAGGGCTGAGCCTAGGGTAGTTCACCTCGAGGAGCAGTCGGATCATCAGGTTGACAAACTGACAAGTGTAGGTTAAAAATACCGCATAATTCAAGGCAAATCTTAGATCCATGCTCATCTCATCACGTCTTGTTCTTCTCCAAGTCGACTCCTTTTCCGCAACCGGTCGAGTCGTTGTGGCGGCCGCGTATATGGATCCATAGCCTCGGCCGTACTAGGAGGCAGTGCCTCAACCTTGAACAACTCTGCCATGGAGTCCAGTATAAACGACACCAAAAGGCTTAGCAAGCACGCGTCAGCTAGCCATGGCCTCGAGGTTTATCGCCCCAAAGTAGAAGCGGAGGACGCAGCAGCATTTGCCGAGGATCAAGCTGTGAAGTCATCGCGACAGCCACCGCAGCCATGACTCGCTTTTTAGTTCTGGAGCTTGGGCCAAGATGTCAGGCAGACGGTGGGATTTCTTAAAGAGCACCGTCGGGAATGTGAAATGGATATTGAGCGGTTTCGGAGTCCAAATCATGGGGAACCAGAGAGTCACCGTTGAGCCGCTTTACTATACTGACAGATGATCTGAAGATAAGACAAGTTCAGTAGAAAGTCATAGTCGTCACCTATACCGTCATTGCTACTCATTTGAGACTCCTTGTATGAAGATCATGTCTCTCTTCTACCCATCAAAAGCTCCTTAAAGAGCTTCTTCTCAACAAAGGCTTTGTTTTCCTTGGCACCCAACCTCCCGAACAGCCTAAGGCGTTCTATCTGGAATTGGTTAGAAACCCGGAACTCTATCATCTAGCATCCTCGTATGGGTCACCCTCTGGATGACACTTACGAGCGTCTTTTGTAAAGCCTTAGAGATGTTTGCGCGGCTTTGACTTCGACCTAGACTTGTGCCGGTGCCCCGAGCATTCCACTTCGTGACAAGTGCTCGCGGGCTGTTGTCGGCGTTGTGGAATTATCATGAGATGATGATTACACCATGAGTTCAGGGCATATCTTTGTGATCTGTAAGATGAGATACTATCCTGTTGCCTGTTACACGTCCCCTGACGAAGCCAATCAATGATGTGCAGTCTGAGCCTCAATCAAGATATTGATCAACAGTTACGGCTCTACATTCAAGCAAAGATCATCACCTCCCTCGCAAAGAGAATGCCCACAAGTCCCGTTGAACATGGGAAAACGGTACTGCATCGGGAGAAATGTGATTACTGAAAGCCGCCTGGCCGCTCGCCAAGTCGGCTACAGCCTCCCCACGCACGTTTAACACGCAACTCAAGGTTGGCCATGACGTTGAAGAAACCCAAACGCACACGGGGAAGCTCTAGATAGAGTGCCGGGACGCTCGTCCCGCTCACCCACGAAACGTGAACGGCCCGGCGCGATTGGCCGCGAAGGCATCCCAAGCCCCAGATATCACATATCTCGCATGACAGCCACGTTTATCTGGGCGACCGTTTTCAGACAATATTGACTAGTTGCGTTCCTTGCATCGGACCACTCTCGGGAGCTGAAACATGACGACGAGGCTGGGTCTGGACGTGAACTGTATCGGGTTGATTTCATTGATCGCGTTGGAGATGAGTAGGTATAATAGACGGCCGTCACTTACACGACTTTGCATCTGATTATCCATACCAAGCAGTTTCACACAAACAAATAAACAAACAAACATCCTTAACACAACATAAACACACACAATGGTACAAGTCACAATTCTCACGGTCCTGGCCGCCTTTGCTTTCACTGGCGTCGATGCCGGCCTGCACAACCCCCTCGAATGTCTCATCGAGGCATTCTGCCCCCATACCGAAGACCCAGCACACCCACCAGTTCAAACCACCAAGGCTGCAGCTGCTCGGGACGTGTGGAGCTTGAAGGCTAGCACTCCCGAGTACACGGAGACGGCCCCTCCTCCAGAAAAAGACCTTGATCCGGAATGCTATAATGTCAAGAACCCCGGCTTCGAGGACGCGACAGTCTCCCCTTGGAAGGTGTCAGACCCTCGATCCATTAAAGTCCAGACTTCACGTGGACGATACCAAGCCCAGAGCGGTAGAAAATTCCTGTACGTTTCTCTGTGTCTGTCTCTGAAACTGCCGCTGACGAGACGCGATAGCCGTTTTACAGTTAATGATCCCAAGGTGGAGTTGAGCATCAGCCAACAACTACACGGTCTTGAGCCCGGCAACCACTGGATCAACTGGGCCGACACGTGGACTGAAAAGAACAACACGGGCGCGTCCGAGTGCACAATCAAGATCAAGCTTGACGACGAAGTCATCTTGGAAGATCACCACTGGGTGCTCGACCCCTTCTACTGGGGCGGAGGTTCCTTCATCAAGAAGATTGCCTCACCCGACCCAGTTCTCAGCTTCAACTTTCTGTGCCCAGATGCGCCCTCAGGTGGTGTCGAGTTTCTCATGGATGATATAAGTGTCTATCCTATTGGTACGAATTGTAATGGTGAGGAGGTTTCAGATCTTTAACTGGCGAGGCGTTGATGGACAATATTGGCTTTTAATGAATAATGTTGGTGGTTAGTAGTTTCTAAGAGACATACATTCTTAAGATGTTCCTCTCCATGTGGAGTGGTTTATGCAAGCGTAGCCATCCTTGACAGCTGAAACACATGAAACATGACGAGACGAGTAGAAGCTCTGCATCAACTTTTATGTGAGATTGAAGAGAAGCACCCGAGACCTTGTATCCGTCTCAACATGTCAAAAACCATGGACTTGGCTGATGTCAGTAACGAAACCCTGATTCCACCAAGTTGAGAACTGAAAAGTAACCTTATTTACCGACAATTTTCCGTCCAAAAGCCTGAGGCCTAAAATGGCAGCTGCCGTGGCTTGCACTGGTTTCTGGGGGCGGCCCAGCACTAACAGGTTACGGGGGAGGAGGCTGAGCCACTGAGCGCCCAGGCCAAGGACCGCTATGATATGCCCGCGGCCCCGTACTAGGCGGCCACTCCATGGATCGGTCCCTGGCACATCCAACATATCTCCCAAGGGGCCATGCAATGTGTTTCTCTGTCAACTTGACCATGCGCCCGCTCTGAATTGCTCAATCACTTGATTGTGTTTGATCCAATGCCTTGAATCTCCAACTTTGCCGTTCCTTATACATCGATCGATTCCTCTACCCTTCCAGCGCCGTCTCCCTCTCCCCTACGGGGCACCCCCTCGACCGCCCTCGCTTCCTTGGCTCTTCAATCTCGTGCCCGACGACCTCTCCGTCATCCATCACCGCGATCGCTCTTGAACCTCCCATCGTCGTCCTTGTTCATCGACCTCCCCGCTCGAGATGGCTTCGCACGGCCAGTATCCTCCGCCTCACCTGGCCCCAAAACACCATCATCATGCCCCCTATGGCACTCCGCCCGTGGCCGTCCCCGGTGGCGCCCCGGCCGGCACCTTCTCGCCCGGTACCAAGATCCAGGTCGGAAGCCACCGCGTCGTGATTCAAAAGTACCTCTCAGAGGGTGGCTTCGCACACGTGTACCTCGTCAAGATGCCCAAGCCCGTCGACGGCACCGACCTGGCGGTCCTGAAGAGAGTCGCGGTCCCTGATAAGGAGACCTTGCGGGGCATGCGCACCGAGGTCGAGACGATGAAGCGCCTCAAGGGCCACCGGCCGATCGTCACCTATATCGATTCGCACGCCTCTGAGCTCAGGGGCGGCGGCTACGAGGTGTTTCTGCTTATGGAGTTTTGCAACGGGGGTGGCCTCATCGACTTTATGAACACTAGGCTGCAGCATCGCCTAACCGAACCCGAGATCCTCAACATCTTTACCGACATCGCCGAGGGTGTCGCATGCATGCACTACCTAAAGCCCGCGCTTCTCCACCGCGATCTCAAGGTTGAAAATGTCCTCATCACCGCCAAGGGCTCCTCCAAGCGCTTCAAGCTCTGCGATTTTGGCTCGGCCGCGCCGCCGCGTCCCGCCCCCACAACCGTTGTCGAGTGTCGCCTCATGGACGAGGATGTCCAGAAGCATACCACCCTTCAGTATCGGAGTCCTGAAATGATTGATGTATACCGAAAGCAGCCTATAGACGAAAAGTCTGATATTTGGGCACTGGGAGTTTTGCTGTATAAACTATGCTATTATACGACCCCGTTCGAGGACCAAGGCCAATTGGCCATCCTCAATGCCAGCTTCAGGTTTCCGAGCCATCCTGTCTTTTCTGATCGACTCAAGAAGTTGATAGGTACAGTTTCGCACCTCGGATGAGTTTTTCATGAGACTGACCTTCTAGCGTCAATGTTGAGAGAAAACATGCAGTCGAGACCAAACATTTACCAGGTGCTCAAGGAAGGCTGCGCCATGCAAGGGCGAGATGTCCCTATTCAGGATGTAAGAGGATTGTTACCGTTAGTAGAATTCGTATTGACTTTACCCAGATCTACTCAGGCGAAGCCCGATCTCATGGTCGAAATGACAGCCCTCAGCGTAGGCAACAATCGTCAGAGCAAGCACCAGTCGTGGGTGCCGTCTTCTCACGAGCTGAGCCAGAAAGACAAGTTATCCCTGACGTTGTTCCTATGAGAAGAGGAAGACCGGCGGCGTCACCAGCTCCAACCAAGGCAGCACAGAAGCCAGAGCAATCTCCCATGCGAAAGACTGATGGAGATCCCTTCGCCGCTCTTGATTCCAAGTCAACTCCCCAGGCCGGATTTGACGAGCTATCATCGAGGTTCCCTACTCTTGACCAATTCTCACTATTACACGACCAAGGGAGCAAATTCGATTTTGACGCCTCCTCGCCAACCTCACCAACTCCTAATGCTCCGTCTGATCTCAACCAGAGGGTTATGGAGAGACTGGCGGATGAAGCCTTTGCCATGCCTCAGCCAGGCGATGCACGCACCCAGTCAAAATCGAGGCCGCACTCAGTCACGCCTGTTGCCCACCAAGCTGCGGTTGCCTCGCCTACCCCAGAACCTTCGCTGCAAAAGGTCTTGTCTGCACCAAGCAGGCCAGAAGTTAGCAGGGCGCAGTCCATCATTAGTAACAATCCCGAGCTGCAGGCGATTTCCTCTCAAACAAGCTCGAGATATGTGTCTACTGGCACGATGACTGCAACTCCACCGCCTGAGCCATACAGGGAGTTGGAGAGACCTGTTCAGCGAGAGTCTCACGAGTACGCACGATCCAGCAGCGCTACAAGGCAACCTGAGCAAAGTGCCGGACAATGGGGAGCTGAAGAGTCACGCCCTGCTTTCCCTGCCCGGGGTTCATCCTATCAACCATCTTCGCATACTCGCCAGCCGTCTTCTTCAAGACCCTCTCTTGAAGGCGGCCGCCCTCGCGCAGACTTTTTGGAGCCTACACCCCGTAATTCTGCCACAATCTCTCGACCACGACCTGCAAGCACAAACCTCGAGGGTACCACGCTTGATTTCCTGCGTGAAAGAGAGGCTGCTTCCCGATCCTCAAGTCGGCCACCCCACTACTCGTCTCAGGTTCCGTCCCCTGCCCAGGAACCTGTGGCTGATGACGATTCGCGAGTTGCATCCAGTGATATGGATTTCCTGAGGAGCCTGGAAGATTCGGAGCGGACCAAGGCGAGCAAGCGCTCTAGTCTGACATCATTGTCTGGGAACAAGAACATCCTTGCTGGCAAGTTTGGAGATGCCTTTAAGCGCTTTGAAGGCGGTTCTCCTGGAGGTGTGAGGAACCCTTCGCCACAAAGGGATGCGGCACGCCGTGATCTTACTCCTATCGCGGGCTCTGAGGCTACTGATGGGCGCAGCGATGACGGTCATATTCAGGAGGATGAGGATCACATGACGCCTGAGATGAGGCGTGAGATGGAACGCCTTAAGCTACAAGAAGAGGAACAACGTGTTGAGGCTGCCCAAGCTGAGTACCGTCGACGTGTGGCCTCAGGAAACCGTGGTCCACCTGTCCCGCCAAAGAGCATTGGGGGAGTTTCCCGTGCTGTCAGCATCCAGAACCGGGTCCAAAGTCTCTTGAACGAGGATCAGAAGTCTTCAAACGTGCAGAGAACTGCCCAAGGATATGGAAAGTACACCGACTCATCGGAAAGTGGAGGCAAGCCTGAGAAGCCGCTACCTGTCAGGAAACCCCTGAACATCGCCAAAACTAGAGTTGAGCCTCCTCAGAATCGGCCAGCCAGTACTGGCCCGGCCTCTACATCCTCTGCACCTCCAGCTCTCGGACCCAAGCCCCCAGCAAAGCCGGTCGCCCCTAAGAAACCGGTTCATCTGAACAGCCTCCCTACCGGACCACGTTCATCGTCACCTTCAAAACAGAGCCGGGCGCAGGCATCGTCAGCTCATGTGATTGCCGTGGACCTCCCTGGACAACCTCTGTTGGACATGACTGCCAAGGAGAAGGACGATTACATCCAGGACTTTACAAAGCGGTTCCCCAGCCTGGGCACGATTGAGATGGTGGAGCGGGAAATTGGCGGACAGAATGGGGCATCAGGACGGTAAGATAGACGACATTGAGAATCTAGTTTCTCATGCAGCATATACACTTGAATATACTCGGCGCATAGCATTATTGTGCTTGTGGACTTGAATCATTGGCGTATTCTTAGAGAAGGAGTTCAAGGGGACGGATGCATAAAGCGGGGCTATGCATATATGCCCTTTTATCTTATCGCACCCCAGCTCCAAACTTTTTTTTTCTGAAGCAAGCCAAGTCCCCGTAGCTTTTCGCGACAACTGCCAGCAGCAACGACAAGACTTTTACAACACGATACAATGGCCAAACGCAAGAGACAAGCCGTCGCGCAGAGCGAACCTGCTCCCGAGCCTGCATCCAACAAGAAGGCCAAGGCAGTTCAACCTCCAAAGGAAAAGCCTTCAAAGGAAAAGACTACGACTCCCGTCTCGACAACTACGACCGCCACCTCTACCGGCCCGGAGACGATCCAGATCGTGGTGGGATCTTACGATAGAATCCTTCATGGATTGACGGTGTCGATTGGACCCAAGGATCAGGCCGACTTTGCCGACACATTCCTCTTCAATGCCCATACCTCAGCGATCCGATGCGTCGCAACGTCGCCTGTCTCGGCGCCCGTCGCTGGCCAGACGCAGAACGTCATGCTCGCCTCTGGAAGCACCGACGAGCGCATCAACCTCTACAGTCTGTCGGCGCACCCCCCGAGCCGAAAGGACCAGGACCTGCTCGCCAAGGTAGCACCCCGACCGATCCTCGAGAACCCCAAGAACCGAGAGATTGGAGCGCTACTTCACCACTCGTCGACTGTGACAGCGCTGCGATTCCCCAATCGGTCGAAGCTGTTGTCATCAAGCGAGGACTCTACGATTGCTGTTACACGCACAAGGGACTGGTCGCTGCTCAGCAATATTAAGGCTCCTATCCCGAAGCCACAAGGGCGACCCAGTGGTGATACGGCACCTCTCGGAGGCACACCGTCTGGTGTCAACGACTTTGCGATCCACCCCAGCATGAAGCTCATGATCAGTGTCAGCAAGGGAGAGCGGGCAATGCGACTGTGGAACCTGGTGACGGGCAAGAAGGCTGGAGTGCTGAATTTTAGCAGGGAGATGCTACAGGAGGCTGGAGAGGGAAAGCACTCGACGGGCGAGGGCCGACGGGTCGTTTGGGGCAATGTGGATGATGCGGACGAGTTTGCAGTTGGATTCGACCGAGACATTGTGGTGTTTGGCATGGATAGTGTTCCCAAGTGCCGAGTTATGGGATCAATCCGCTCAAAGATTCACCAATTCTCTTATGTCCAGGTGGATGAGGAGGCGGACGTTACACTTTTGGCTGCGGCAACCGAGGACGGCCGAATCCTCTTCTTTTCGACCAAGGACGAAGACCTCACAAAGCCCGACGACGCGGACGACAAGAAATCCGAGTCTCTCCCCACAGCTAAGCTTGTCGGGCAGATCGGTGGCAAGGCAGACGGAGTGGATGGGCGGATCAAGGACTTTGTGGTTATCAAGAGCGCGACAGATGCGTCGAGAATGTACGTGGCGGGCGGTAGCAGTGACGGGCGGGTCCGGTTGTGGCGAGTGTCTGTGGATGAGTTGCAGGGGAAGAAGAAGAAGCAGGCCAAGAAGGGTGATGATGCTGCTGATTCTGCTGGTGTGGGGAAGCTGTTGGGGACGTACGAGACGCGGAACAGAATCACTTGCATGACGGCGTTTTTGATGATACCCCGACCCGAGGGAGTAGAAGAGAGCGAGTACGAGTTCTCGGACGAGGAGGATGAGGAGGAGAGTGATAGTGATGAGGATTGAGCGTGGGGGGGGGGGGGTTAGAAGGAGAGATAATTTGACCGCTATCATTTACATGATGATGGTGTTTCCATCATGACCTGACCTGAGGCGTACAGTACATTGACGTCGACCCATGAAGCCAAGTGACGCGCAAAATCACATGTCAATTGATTTGTCCTGTACCCATTCCACGTCGGACACAAAGTCCATTCCTCTTCTGCACACAGCCGAAACGGGTTGAATCTGTAAAACGCTGTTGCATCGCCAACCGCTTCCCCCCCTCTTACTCTCTTGCTGCTGACAGTGTCGCAGCGCGCGGCAACTTTGTTGGGAGGTGGCCGATCAATGGATCTTGGACAGAATCACGAGGGCGCGCAATACGATGGAGCCCCGAGATCTGGCCAACCAACGGGTGTGGAATTGGGGCATGTCACGCGGGTGAAGAAATAAACGAGACATGGGAACGAGAACGAGGGGGATCAAATGCCTTTCCAATGATATACATAAATAGATATAAAATAGAGGAAAATAGGACGAACAAGGATATTCTATTTAATGCAATTTCCTATCTCTTTTATGTATAATTCTATTACTCTTTAGGAGAGGAAAGCTAATGCCGTTGTACAACTGTCTGGTTTTTTCCTTGACCCGCGTGGTTGCTAGCAAGGCACCTAGTGACTTGACCCCTGTGCCGAAGCAAGCTCTTGTGGGGTAAAAAGCACATCCAAGGATGAATATTTCCTGGGGTCCAAACTCTTTGGTCTCCAGCAAGCATAAAGATCGAGTGTCTCAAAGCCTATCACACAAAATTCAACATGCAGAGTTTCTCAATCACCGCCTTCATTCCTATAGAGGTCAAAGCCCAAGTCTTATTCATGCCTTAATAGAGGACGTCCGTGAACAACGAGGCGGAAGAGCGGGCGGGGAAAGGACCCGACGCAAAGCATACCATCCTAAATGGATGGCAAACGCCCACTAAAAAGGACCAGATTTCGGACCCCAATGGACAAGGGGGCTGCATTGGATTGACCCTTCTCTCTACGTAACTGCTGGGCCCTTGGGGTCTGGGTCTGGTCTTGTGAGCATGTGAAGAGTCCGTCGTCGGTGGTTTGGGTTTCATGGCTTATTCTCCTCTTCCTTCTCTTCTTATTCAAGCTCGCATTCTTGACTTTCCTCTCTCTTACATCCAATCTTCATTGCTCTTCTCCGCATCGTTCATAAACCCTTCATCAACATCTCCAACAAGTAAAGCATTGATTTCCATATACGCGTATCCACGACGAGGCTCTCACCCGAGACCATTCATTCCCCCCCCCAAAGCCTTGCTGATTCGGATATCCCGGTTCTCAGCAAGCCACGTTTGGGCGCTCGTTCACCTGCGAACCGCACAGATCGGCCTCAACAATATCCCATCGTCCCGTCCCGACCGTCCCGGGAAGTGTAGCGTCAACATCGTGAACTGAGACCAGTTGAGACCAGTGAGTAACCTTGGCTTCCGAGACTTGTCATCTCGCCTTGCCTCCAGCTGAGGCGAGAAGACCTTGTTTGCCCTCTATCCCATCGAGTCTTCGCTCACAACTTATTCTAGACCCTCAACAACCACTCCAAGAACCTTGAAGTCGACTTCTCACAACACAATGGCCGACGACGGACCTCCTCTCCTCAGACCCATCCCCCGAAGACCCTTCGACCTGAGCCTGACGAGCCCAACACCTCCCGATGAGAACTCCTCGCCCGCGACGCCAGCCCCGGCGCAGTCTGTGGACCTGAACAACCTGCGCTTCCTGCAGCCGACCCCCGAGCCCGTGAGCCTGAGCCGGCCGCAGTCGTTCCTTAACTTGACGTCGTCGACACTGTTTGGCATCTACTCGCCCACCGCGTCCAACTCCCGCGACCGCATCTTTGCTGATAGAGACGAGCTGGACACACCTTGGGGTACTGGCGCCCAGACGCCCATTAAGAGGGCTAGCATTGATGAGGCGACCTATGAGCTCCTTCGCGACCGATCCCACCTTGTGCGTCGCCGATCATCATTCCGCCCTGTCGAGGCTCCGAGCCCTCTTGTCCCTGCGCCGTCGCCTGCGTCTTTAGCCCTACGAGGCCTCGTCCTTTTTGTGCTAGGTGTTGGCTATGGTATACTTGTCACCACGCGCCCGGACAGCCTGAAGTCCTTGAGGGGGAATATGATCCGCCCTGCATACAATTGGGCGCATCTGGCTTTCTGGGGCTTTGCTGGTGTAGCTCTGGGTGCGCTGCTTCCTTGGCTTGACCGTGTATGGGAGGAGTCGTTTGGGGACGACGGTGAGGAAGCCGTGGCTGAAAATGATGGCGCTTCGACCAAGGATGATGGCCCCAGCACCGACTGGGCGCTTGTCGTCCGAGCCATTGGCGCCTTTGTCGGCATTGTATTTGCTATTGTAAGTTGGATTCCTGAAGAATTTGTCTTTGTGTGCCGTCTAACAGGTTTGGCAGCGCAAGGTGGCCTGGGCGTCGACCCTCCAGGTATCACTGACATTGGCCCTCGTGAACCCCCTCCTGTGGTGGCTCATTGACCGATCCAAGCCGGGTCTGTTTCTTTCTGCGGTCGTTGGCCTCACGGGTTCGGTGCTGCTTCTCGGTGTCAACCCTGAAATTATGCCGGCGCCCACTCATGTCGCCCTTGGCAACTTCTCACTGGGACAGGATGGAGACCATGATCTGCCGGTACTCGGAGGCTTGGCTCGCCAAGAAACACTCGAGACGGGAGTGTGGATGCTCAGCGTACTGTTCTGCAGCTGCGTGTGCTTCGGCAACATTGGTCGACGACTTGCGGTTGGGCCTGCTGCGACTGCAAAGGGTCGCTGGGCCGGTGTACGATGACAGCTTAAAGCTATGTTTATCGTACTCTGTATATCATGATGTGTCCATGATGTTTTGTTTAGTATCTGGGACTTGGGTCTATGGTTTGGGGTTTCTTCTCGGACGGTACGGCTGGGTTGGTCACAAGACTGGATAAGGGGACTTGGGGGTAAATAAATGACCTGGGATGGGATATCAAGGGGAATATTCCTTACTCATGGGTTGGGTTGGGCTGGTGGTGGTGTGTTTATGACGGCTACATGTTTGAACTCGGCCTGGCAGCTTCAGGTTGACAGCGAATTGATAAAGCAGAGCTTGATGGAATTGTTAAGCATGATGAACCTGCTACCAATTGCATTACCCAGTTCCCAATTAATCGTGAATATGTCCGTGCCATGTTTTTGGCGGTGTGATTCCTCCACCGACCTGGAGCTCCTTCTGAGGTAGCTCATGCAAATGCCCTGATGATGATGATTTGTATTTTATATCCTTTTCATATTTTTTTTCTCCTTTTTGTTTTACTCATTCTACATCTATTCATCCACTATCCACCTACCACCCTGAGTAGGTAGATGCGTGGTGGACGATCCCTCGGCTCGGCACGACGTCATATCCATCAACGGGCCTTGGCGAGAGCTTCCTTGAGGGCACGTGACTTATCTCGGACGTTGTCGCCAAAGTCAATGTTGGACAAGCCGAGCATGACGAGCATTCGGGGGTTATGGATCATCTCGTCGATTGTGATGGTGCGAGTGAGGACGTCGTGGAAGGAGAGGGCGGCGGCTTGGGGGCCCGAGGTGGCTATATTCACGGGGAGAGATGAGGTAAGTCTGGGTGTTTCTTACGGAGAGGGAGAGATCAATTGGAGCAAGGAAAATAGGTATTGATTTGAACAAGGAGAGGTTTCATATCAATGGCATCAGGAGAAAAAGCTATAGGTACTCATCGTTCAAAAGGAGAACTTACCACGGTCATGCTTGGGAATCTGTTCCGGATGCTTAGTCGGCCTTCCGGCGTAGATGTTGTCAAGCTCAGTCATGATGTAACGGGAACGGCAGACAAAGTCCCAGACGTGAAAGAGACCACGCGGGGGAGACGGCGGTGTCCACGACGGGTGCGCCTCGAGGGCCGAGACGAGGTCGCTGAGGCAGGCGGTGATTTCCTCACGGACCTCCGGGGCGGGGAGGCCCGAGTCGGAGGTTGTACCGGGACGGGATGCGCTGATCATGGTGTGTGAATTGGGTAGATGACAAGCTGGATGAGAAGAGAAAGAAGCAGAAAACAAGAATATTAATAAAAAAGAAGAAGAGAAAGAGAGGAGAGAAAGAGGAGTAACGTCGAGGCAACGTCAGAAAAAGCTTCCCCGCTACCTTACGGCTTCTGTCCAATTGCCTCTAGATGCAAATCTTGGGGTCTCCCTCGTAGCTACCTACCCTTACCGCAACCAATCCCCTAATAAATACGGTAAAGGGTCATATCAGCCAGGGGGGCGGGCTCTCTTGAGTCGTGTCAACCCAGACTCGGTTCGATAGTTCCTAGGCCCCCCTTGTCACAGACCCTTGGAGTGACGCAAGTCCACCGCCGTCTGTTGTCAAGTTTTTTTTTTTTTTTGTGACGAGAGGAGCATTCGGTTAGGTAGGGCCATATCATGGGCCGTGTTCAGTGGATACGGAAACGGGGGATTTTCTACTCTGGCCGTTTCTGGAAAACGGGGTGTGTGTATTGTTTGGGGACGAGGGAGAAGAAGCCATCGTCAAAGGAGAGAGGCGGCGTTTTTTTGGGGCTGGCGGTAAGCCCAAGCCACCCCATGAACCTCGAGACATTGACATGTGATGGATGCGGGACGGAGTACGCCGTGAGATAGCTTTTCCTTCCTTGCATGGACATCAAAACATGACAAGATCCAGAAACCTGGAATAGACCAAGGAAAACGAGAACGATGAAGGTGGGAGAGCTTGTGTGGGGAACCCGAGGTTTCTTTGGTTCAGAGTCCTGGAGCTTGGGAATTTGTCGTGTGATGAGCTTCCCCCTCTGAACTTGAGAGAGAGAGAGAGAGAGAGCGTTCAATGGGAGCAGCAGCTGAGACAGAGATGGTCTGTCAGCCCCTGCGTCTTTGTTTGGCTGACTCGTCGTCATAGGTTTCATTGGTTGGCAGGGCCCTTGCTCTTCAGCTTTCAGCACGAACGCCAGCACCTTGATCCGGGAACCCAGGTCAAGCACCAGTACAAGGGCATTAGCCTATCCTATCCAAGGGATGTTGAATAACGTGCGATGAGAAGAACTGAACAATGGATAGAATGTATCTAAAATATTACCCCTCTTAAGATATCCCTTTTGTTAATTTTAGAAGATTTTATATGGATCTATGATGTGCTTGAGAGGAATAACTCGGCCTCAGCTGTTCTGGTGTCCCTTGACAAGGATGGAGGGGTCTAGATGGGCGTCATGAGTGAGCATGGGTTTCTGCGTCTTACCTCAGATGGTACTGCTGCTGGTACTTATCAAATGTACACACACACACGCGGGTTGCCAACGTTGCGCGGAGAAACCTGGAGCTGCATTTGTTGGCCATCTCGATCCGGGCCGCCACACCTTAAAAGTAGCTCATTGGACCAAGGTGATGGGTGACCACGCGGGCCATGATGCGTAGATTAGATTTTGTCAAACGTTGGCTTTTCCATCGTACTCTTTGATAAATGAGCAGTAATAGACTAGAGATGAATAGAGAGAGAGAGAAAAGATAAATGCCACCATTACTCAATAGGTATGCGGGGAGCATCGCCTCCATCATCATGGATAATCTACAGAACCAACAAGTCCCCCGTCCTTGGTGGCCAGCCTCATATGACGCCAACGACTTTTTTCCCCATCTTCTCACAGCCTCGCCTTTTTTTCCCATCCTATCCCGCGCCAATGGCGATCATCTCCCCCCCCCCTCTTTTTCCCGTCTTTTCCATGTCTCGGATCTTGCCAGCCCGTTGACGGATGCGATTTTCCCTCTCCATTAAGTACATAGCGCCGATGGCCGCTTCTTCTCCATTGACTTCTCGATCGCCAAAACGGCCTTGTCATCAGCATACAGCGCTGTCAACATGCCCCGAGGGAAAAAAGGGGACTCTTCTTTTTTGTCTCGTGGCAGTGGGCAATGAACTAGATCGGCGGAAAAGGTGGGATAATGTAGGGTCCCCTTGTCGCTGTCGAGTACCATCTACTTTGATCTTGTCTGGCTGTTGCATCGTGATCTGGGCTGTCATGGATGCAACGAGGCCATTGGCTGTGTGGTGCCCGCGATGCGAGTGCGAACGAAGGTTGCCGTTGATAGCTCGTTTCCCCCACAGCCATCGTCAACCTGGATGCTTCTTGTTGGACGAGAATCTTTGGGTTTGGTGTTTTTATTCATGATATGTTGATTTAAACCTCTACCTTTTGCTGCACGAAAGCGAAAGCAATGCTTCCACGGCGGTTTCTATCAACGGCCAACTCGCATCGTTTGCATATAACCGTTGGAGTAATAAAAAAAAAGCATGACAATTTATCCAACGTCATGAGTCCCACGTCCTAGATTGCTATCGTCATTCGTTTTTTAAAACTCTTGTTATGCTTGCTTGTGACACTGAGGAGAACTGGGGTCTAAGAGTTGTGCCGAGTACCTTACCTAGCTGTCATCGACAACTAGTCATGGGAAGAATGCACGGGACGGAATCATCATTTGAGGATGCCAGTTGAAAAGCGGAATAGGTTTTGACATATTTGATCATCTAGTTAGTCATCTCATAACAAAACCCAACAGTTCAGAGCATACACTCAAACTCACTGGCCAAAGACCAGAATCTAGACCCCCAAGCTACGCTACTACGCAGGGTCCTCCTCCACCTCAGGGACCAGACCCCAATGAAACCTCCAAGTATCCGGTACCCGTCAGCGACTCTCCCACATTTACTAGATCCCCATTGGTATCATCACCCCGAGCTGTGACGCCCTTGACTTTTCCCTTCTCCTTGATGATATGGATATTTCGGGTCCTCGCGCGTGCTACAAGTATCCACCCCTCCTTCTCTCCGTGCCTGCGAAGCTGTTCCGGATTGGTAAGATTTTCTTGATTGTATGACGATCTCTATCCTTGACGATTGCTTCTTTGGCTGGGACTCAAAGACACACCATCCTCTTTACTTTTCTTTCTTCTCCTCCTCTTCATCTTCTCTCCTTTCTTTTCTTCTGCTGTCAAACTCTCGCCCCGTTCATATTCGCATTAGACCCCTCATCTCGACTCTATCCCATCTCCCCTGGTCCTTCCCCCTGTCAGCTGTCAGTCAGCTCAGCGCAGCTTGTGGAGGCCCGTTTAAATCGTATCCATCCATCCATCACATCACCTCGCACCCACGACACCGCAGCGCATCCTCTTCCTCCACTGTCGCCATATATCCATGGCAATGCTGCACTCCTCGCCTCCGAGACGATACTTGTAGCATCTCCCTCACGCAGAATCCATGTCTATCTTGCATCCGGCTCGTCCCCGTATACTGGACAATCCCGCGTCCTCCTTCATGCACTCGAAACGAAGTCAACGGTTACGCGAAGACATCAGCAATATTCGTCTTCGACAACGAAGCCCTAGACAACCACGAAATCATCTGTTTTGGACAATTAGCGGACGAGAAACGACATAGATCCCTATCGACAGGCGCACCGATTTAAAATACCTCCCCCACCAACACATCATATCGAGGCTCGCACCTTATTAGAGAGTTTTGACGCCACGATAAGAAGAAATAACGAGTAACCAATTCGAAAAGATACGGGAAAAAATACTCATCGTTCGTCATCCCCCGAGAAAAAGACGCCAATGCCACCAAACGCTACGCCGCAGCAACCTGCGGCCAGACCCTCCCCCGGCCCCGGCCCCGAACCGGACCCCGGCCGATCGCAGTCGACGACTCCTGCTCCGACCCCTCGGCATCGCGATGTCGCCCCGCGCGACTTTGTCCGGCTCTTTCAATGCCGAGTGTGCTCGTTGCCTCTGCGCGAGCCCGTTAGCCTCCCATGCGGCAAGACCATGTGCCGACGTTGTCTCCCCGAGACGCACCGCCGATCAAACATCACCTACCCCGCCGCCCCGGACCGCCTCCGTGGCTTCAAGTGCCCCTTTTCCGACTGCGCGAGGGAGCACGCGCTAGACGACTGCGCCGTTGACGTCGTCCTCAACAAGACGGCCGGGCACGTACGCGACGAGATTGACCGGCGCAAGCTGATGGTCCATGAGTCCACGAGGGTCGAGTGGCCGGATCCGTGGGCTGCTGCTGGGATCACGTCGATGAGGGAGGACGATGCGTATTCAAAGGTGATACAGGGAGGAAAGGTGGTTGCGACGTATACCCTCGCAGAAGAGGGCGATCTGTCCTACGACACCGACATCACCTGCAGCTACATCCCCTCACCTCCGACATCGCCATCACCAACCCCAACCGTTGACGATGACGACGACGACGATACCAGCCTCATCCGCAAGGCGCAGGATGCCACGCGGGCTGAGATGGACTGCCAGGTCTGCTACGCCCTCTTCTATGATCCTCTGACGACACCTTGCGGCCATACGTTTTGCCGCTCGTGTCTTCATCGCATCCTCGACCACTCACGATATTGTCCCATCTGCCGTCGCCCCATGGCTATCAACCCCGTACTCAGCCAAAAATCTTCACCATCCAATGAAACGATCACACGCATTATCGAGGCCTTTTGGCTGGACGAGGTCGACGCCCGAAGGGAGGCTCTCGATGCTGAGCGCGCGAGTCAGATGCAGGACTTTGATCTGCCGCTCTTCGTCTGTACGCTGTCGTTCCCCCTCATGCCGACATTTTTGCACATATTTGAGCCGAGATATAGACTCATGATCCGTCGAGCTCTTGAGGGTGACCGGACTTTTGGCATGGTTCTCCCAAAGAGACCTCAACACCCTGATGATGTCGACTTTCACGACCTAGGCACGTTGCTCCGAATCGTCAATATCCAGTACTATCCCGATGGCCGGAGTCTCATCGAGACGGTTGGCCTGTCGCGCTTCCGTGTCCGCAACCACAGTTATCTTGATGGGTACACCGTCGCCAAGATCGAGCGCGTTGATGATGTCAGCCTCGAACAGGAGGAGGCCATGGAAGCTATGGAAGCCGTACCTCCCACGGAGCAGCCCTCAACCGGAGAAGATTCCTCCATTCAAGGCGACAAAGATTCACAAGATTCACCCTCATCAGCTTCTCCCCCTCCAACCATCGACAGTTTGCC